TTTAATATATTAGATTCGTTCTTTGTCGTCAGAGTAACTACAAAGGCGTTTATCGGTGACATTGCTATTAAATAATCTTTTATATATATTTCTTTCGAAGATCATTGTAAACTGGACAGACAAACACAAAATGAATTTCATTTTCTATCTCCAGATTACATAATGGACAAATTCTTTTCAGTTTTTCAATGGACAGTTTTTCCTTCATTTACAAATAGGCCTAGTAAACCAAGTCGATATTTACTTAAATGTTTTCCGTAGTGAGTACTGATAAATATATTTCTGGTTGAAGTCTTGAAAGTTTTGTAATATTCGTAACGTGAACTATCCTCTAAAGTGGAATGCCATTCTTAGTAGAACGTATTTATAGGCCGATTTCCAAATTCATTCAGAAAAATATTTACATTTTCACCTGCCGAATATAGCTATATAAAACCCAAACCATACGAAAATAAAAGATTTCTAACAAGCAATGTCCAAGTATTCTTTCCCATGTTATTTAAATGTAGAAACATGTTATAAGCTGATTTAGGGAGACGTTGTTCATGCATATGAAGGATTATAAACCAGTATTTTAAACATCTAATCTGAGAGTTAACATATAATGGGTATCTTCCACATTCACCTTAAACCATGCAATTTGGTGTAGAAGATCCGACACAAAGAAACTTTTTACATGCTAATAAGTGAACCTTCTCTAAACAGTCATAACGTTGAAAACCCATACTTCAGAAACGTACAATAAATTTGGTTGTATCTGGCTATCAAAAAGCTCCAAGAAGATATTAGGTGACATCGTTCCAACATTATGAGCAGTAGACATTACAATTATTAAAGCTTTCTTTGCACGCAAGGACAAGTCAAGGGCACCTTTTCTTCCAATTCATTGTGTGAGAGAAACAGACTCCTAAATATGAATAGGGATCTACCATATTGACTAACTGACCATCGAATGATCATCTTTCTTTCGACGCTATTGGACCTGCTTTTCTAAAAATCACAATGTTATTTTTGTTCAAAATTTACTGATAATTTCCATTTTTTCATGTATGTACTTAACATAATTAATTGCCTTTGTAGACCAACAACAGTATCTGACATTATATGACATCATCTTCAAAAACTAGCATTAATATTTCCATCTATTCTGGAAACATTTGGATACCATGTTTACCATTGGCAGCTATTTCGTAATATCATTCATTAATGAAAAATGACAATAAGATCGGACTCAAAATAAAGCCTTGTCCTTAGGCCGAAAAGACAATCAAAGAAATCTGTTACACCATCCCCACAACGAACACATGATTTCACATTATGATACACTGATTTTAGAATAGTAAACATTTTCCCACGTGAACCAGCTTTTCGTAGACATGTCCACAGCTTAAAGGGATTAACAAAATCAAAAGCCTTTTTGAAATCTACTAATGCTACGTACAGTTTATGCTTAAGCCGTGCCAAGGTCTTTTGAATAAGTGCATAAAGTTTAAATATATTATCTAAATAACTTTTTCTGAAACCAGCTTGAATTTCAGGAATCTTATCACGCATGTTCTCCCATATATTTATTCTATTGTTTAATATTGTAGTAAATACTTTTCCTGAAATGCTCATTAATGAAATACCCCTATAGTAATCTGGGTCACTCCTGTCTCCTTTTTTTATGCAGGGTTATTATTATAGAACATGACCAATTGCTTGGGAAAACTCCATTTTAAAATAACTTATTGAAACATTTGCAAAGAAAAGCCATAACTTCAAATTTAGAACACTTCAACATTTCGACAACTACATCATCAGTACGAGTAGTTCTAAATCTTCGTCTTGCAATTCTACATCCAGTATTAAAAGTTTTATTTACAAGAGGGGACACGGGTGGCCCAGTCGTCTAAGGCGCCGCGATTCGCTGCGCAGAGTTGCGTCCCTTGGGCACGCCAGAAACCTATGATTGTTGGTTCGAATCCCGGTTCGCCCCGATTATGTTTCTAGGTTTGTCAGCACCATACCCGTGCTCGTGGGTTTCACCGAAGTGGTAAACGTCTGAGACCTGCATCACTTCGGACTTTCCTCCCACATTAAGCTGACACGTCGTGATATGACTGGAATACTGTTAAAAGCGGCGTTAAACCCAACTCACTCACTCACTCTCATACAAGATGCTGAAGTTAACATAATTTCAACAAAGTCATCAATTGACCCCTCAATATCAATAAGTTTATCTAGAAATAGCTCTTTAAAGTATGTTATACTTTCTTGTAGCTTGATCAGAAAATTGTTCGAAAGTTCGTCTCTCTATTAGTTTCTTCTATCTGACACCCTCATGTTTTAATTTGTTATACTTTTTATTCATATGAGGGAACTTACAAGTCAATTCTAAAGGTAAATGATCAGATTCTAGACAATCGCCAATATTCAACATGTTAACATAATGAAAGAAATCGGGAGAACATATAAAATAATCATTAACGCTAGCACCTTGGTTTCCACAACAGGTAAATTATCCAAGGGTATCCCCGTGCACTCTTCCATTGACAATGAATAACTGAAATCTAACAACAAATCGAGCAGTATCTGACCAAATTTATTAATACATTTCCGATCTCCAACACATACATTTTCATCTCCTGGAAAATGACAGTTACTATGAACAAAATCGTGTTGCAGATCGACTAGGGGATTGTTTTGTTGACCAATACGAGTATTCATATCTCCACAGACTACACTGAAAGAATCTTTAAGCTGCGACTGATCATCTAACAAAAACTCTTCAAGATGATCAATATTACATGTCCAAGCAAAAGAGATTATCAACATCTGATTTAATAAACTTACAGGCTGATTGATGGACACATACAGAAAAGCCACCTGATAGCCTGCCGTAGTCTGCTAGTTTTATTGCTGGACTATAATACATATCATAACCGACTAACCAGTTATTATCAAAGCTACAGTCGACAAAATTTCCACAAGACATGCTATTTTAAATTATTATAAGTATGATATAAAATCAGCATCATCAATTTTGTTTCGAAGTCAATTAATATTCCAACTTAGAAAGGCGAATGACAGTCAACGCTTAACGTAACACAGGTGTTAATAGTGTTAGGATCTTGTGAAAAACTACCCGGGCCTCGGTCAATATCCTAGCTGATAGAAGCATGTGACACTATTTTTCCATCCGGTCTTCTATGAAAAGATGGGCGTTCTCGTGACGTGTCTGCAGTGTGAAAAACGTTGTTGATGTTGTTTGAATGGTTTTAAGTGCCTGAAGCTGTTGCCGTTGACGTGACGTTAGGTCACTAGAAATTCCAAGTCCCCCTTCCTTGAATGTGGGTCTCGCTTTCAATCTACGAACTTTGTCGTCAGACGAATGTACCTTAGCAATCATTGGGCGAGGTCGATTTGCATTTACACGTTTAACGCCACGTTTGTGCGCACGTATTATGTCCAAAAGTTGCCACGTTTTGAATTTAGCATGTTCATTGAGGACAGATAACACAGTATCTTCACATGAATTTCCATCGCCTGCTGCTTCCGGTATTCGTGGATGAGGATATTTTTACGTCTGCTATAGGACTCAAGTCTATCTATTTCGTTATCATTTTTTTACATCTGATCAAACACACTTTCCACCTTGCCTGAAAGTGCATCAATGTCATCATACATTCTATCATGGTTCTGTTTCATGGTGTTTAGATCACAATGTAATTCTGTAACAGAATCCTCCAGTTTTTCACATTTAGAACTGATAATGTGGAAGTCGTTCTTTAGTTCTGAACTTTGTGTGCTTAAATCTGCTTTGGATTTACGTATCTCAGATTTCAAACTCCCTATTTCTGCCAGAATTTTCTCCTGTACTTCTTGGAGAGTTAATGGGCCTGGGTTTGTCTCCACATCGTTAGAGCATAGTAGAAGCTGTGTTGTGACTCCCACGGGAATCGCGTCACCCCCAAGGAAAAGCTTTTCACGCGCAAGTGGGACATGATTCGGTGACAAAACTTGGTCACAACTCGTGTTGGTGACGTCACATGAGACACAAAAGAATGTAGTTTCTCTCGGCGTTAAGTGATCATATATCAGATTCAAAAGTACATATTGATTACTGATAAGTAATGCGGACAACGAAAGGTGCGCAATCAGCAGCAAAGTGCAAGGAATAATGCGATACGGAATATCTGAGTTATCATGACATGCTGGGTATAGCGTGTACCTGTCAACGTGGCTGACTTGGCGGGTCCCGGGTGGATGACTGAAGGTTCCGATTCTAGCTCAGTATGTTGCTCGATCCTCCATGTTTTGTTCATAACGTATCCACAGAGTGTTCACACATTACCAAATGCCCTTTTGAGGTTGCCAGGTTTCTTTGATTTTGATATTTAGAGCAAATTCTCGGAGACTACAGGAATGTTGATGTGTTCGCCAATGAAATGGTAAATCGACGTTGCTTTTTTGCTATTGTCGCTAAACATTATCTAAGTACAATCTATGTAGTAATTCGGTCTCTCTTTACTCTACTATTGAGGAACATTTGACCATGCTCTTTCTTTGATCAGGCTTACAACATTCAATGCCTTTGTGAAACTTTTAAAATATTTATGATACACATGCGGAGGACATTGTCATAAATAACGCATAGTGATTCATAAATAAATGCGACACATACTATTTCGATAGTCACTAAAATCGTCACTAAAAGCAGAGTTCATTGCACGATTTCGACCATACTCAGACTCGTACAATGGACTCTGCTTTCGGCAGATATTTGTTGCGATTATGGAAAGGTTTTCAAACTTTTCTGTGAAGGGTAGAGCCGAATCATTTTCAGGACATCCAACATTATCACCAAACGCTCGGTCAGTAAGTAACAAAAGTAAAGGTACCCACACCGAGCTGTTACCGCGTCAGCATCCAGTACACGAGATTCAGGATATACGTGGCCAGCTGGTAAAAGTGGAATACATCGATACTGATTTAGAAACGGCGAAGTTCATAGGATGAACATAATCGACGAACACATCTATTGATTATTAATTGTTTATAAGGAGGGGGAACAGCCCTCGTTTCCAGAAGAGCCCCATGTGACAGGAAGCCTCGTGTGTACACGAAGAGACACTATTTCAGTAACTCTATGTTCTCCAGGGCATCCGGTTCTGCTTATCTCTGGAGTATGGAGAAGGTCTGTTTTTCAGATTTTGTATTATTATATATTCCATGAACTGTCTGCGAAACACACAGTACACAGTAAGATGTATGACCTTTGTGTCCAGTTGTAACACTTTATGTCTCTATGTCCGTCTTGTACCAGTCGTTTACTTCTTTGGACAAGACTGTGAATTATTAGTCTTGAATCATCGAACAGATTGTATATCTGCTGACTTGGTGAATGTAGGTACCTCAGTTTGTGACTCAGTTTTCTTGAAAGAGACACGTGGGTACATTTACAGGACTGTCTGTTAAGCCTCCTGTTTCAATTACTTGGTTTCCATCCATTGCTATTTGTAAACCATAAACAGAATGTAGGAGGTCAACATTAAATTTACAGATCCCAATAATTGTTACGCATGCCCGTCGTGTGACGTGGCTGATTCTGTAACATCGTGACCTGACAGTGTACTTGTCCATGCTGTCAACCGACTCTGTTATTGCTTGAGTATTTTCAAACGTAGGATGTACACCGTTCCCTCAATCACGCCAACCTTGAAGCAGGCTTATTTCAGACGTTGATTCTTTCAGGACATGGCGACCACGCTGCTTCTCCTGCTTGTAATCCCGTCCTGCTACAGCCAGTGTAAGTATAGTACTGACAATGAACTCCGCACTGTAAACCTTATATCTAGAGTACCATAAGGATATCGATAATATTAATTCTGAAGAACCAATGCTCCAAAACTTTGAGCTGTTTAGAAGAATATCCAAGGTGAGATGTTATCATGTAGGCACTTCTAGAAGGCCTATGACGTTATTGGTATCTGTCAGATAATTGCGTTTAACAAACCAACATTCTTTCATGAACAAGAGGTCAGGTTCTGAAGGCTGTCGATGGCGCCAATCGTTGCTCTTACCTTCGGTCATGGGTTTGTCTAGTCTAGATTTAATTATGTTCAGATCACTAGTTGGCTAGCACTATAAAACCGTCATACGTCAGAGCTGGTACAAGGTTATGAAGGATGTCGATGGCGCCAATCGTTGCCCTTACCTTCGCTCATGGGTTTGTCTAGTCTAGATTTAACTATGTTCAGATCGCTAGTGGGCTAGCACTATAAAACCGTCATACATCAGGGCTGGTACAAGCAGCTACGCATACATTCATGCACGTCGCTATTTAAGTGCAATAATCTAGAGCGCGAGGTTAAACTCCACTCACCCCAATGTCAACTTGTCAACAATGTTACACGTGTCGCAATCCTAACTGAAGAAAATCTAAACTCTACTGATCAGTGGGGTTGCTTAGAGGTGAAAGCGCTCACGACACGCAGAAACCTCGGTTCGACTCCCACATGAGTACAGTGTATGACGCCCCTTCCCGATGTCCACATCCGTGTATTGCTGGAATATTGTTAAGAGCGCCGTAAAACCATATTCACTCTGAACACTAATGTTGTTTTCAGTTGAAGATCCGTGTCGAAGCTTTACAGAACTTGACAACATAGCAACACGGGCCCCTAGTTACTCGGGAAGCCCCTTAGTACATGATGACAGCTCACTGGCCCCCGGCTGGTATGCAGCACCTGTTGGGTGGGAATTACTCAGTCAGGATCCTGGCAACTCGACCAAGTGTGGAACAAGAAAGCCAATTTATAGAACAAGTAAGACCAATTATAATAAAATCTTGAACTGAAGAATAAATATGGATATCATTTTTTTCCGATTGCCTAGCGTTCCCATACGCGACTACTGCGATTTGGGGGTCAGGCTCGATGATGTCGTTGATGCACGTCATCTTATCCCATTTGCGTAGATTATGATGTCAGTCAATGGATTGTCTGGCGGACGTCGTACAGCTTGAATATTGCAGTTAGCGGCATTCAACAACAAATTAAATATGCAAAACACATATCAATTATAAGCGTACCAACAATTCATAATTACAATTATATTACAAACAATATCATTTTGAGGATAGAATAGTACAACAAACAAACAAACCAATTCTTGAAAGCATATCTTAATTAATCATCCAAACCAGCTAGACCCTAATATTGTTATCATTTCATCTGATATCCGTGTTCTAGTGGGTAGAGCTTCTGTTTGGAGAGCGGAAGGTTGTTAGCTAGATCTCCGGCCTTGTCACATTGAAATACGTACAAAGTTGGTACTTGTTGTTACCCTGTCTGGTGTTCTGCATGAGGGTGATAAAACAACGAGGGTCAAGTAGGGAGTCAGTGTCGGGGTCAGGTCAGGGTCAGGGTCAGGGTGGGGTCAGTGTCGGGGTCAGGTCAGGTCAGGGTCAGGGTCAAGGTGGGGGTCGGGGTCGGGGACAGGGTTACATCTTACATCATTACTTAGTATAATAAAGGGGAATCACATCGTCCCCCGTGTTATTGCTGGAATATTGCTGAAAGCGGCGTAAAGCCATATTCTACCATGAATTTGGAATTTACTCGATTCTGATTGGTCAATCAGAGGCTATTAAATCACAATAAACCCCCTCTGATTGAAACAGCTGGTTTGACGGCCGCTTCACCGCGGAAGCTAATATTCGTAGAATGGTACTATTTTCAGTCATTGTCGGTAGGCGTATTTAAATAATTATATCAGCAATTACAGGTTACAAAATGCACAGATGCGGTTAATACAATATACAAAGGATGTGTGGCAATACATTTTGTGCAGAAAAACACGACAGAAATCAACAAAGGGAATGTATTTACGTTTTGGAGACAACAGAGAGCTTGGAATTTTGGCGCTTTTCTATATATGACTGTGACGTCATATCATTTGCGTCACAATGAGCGGCATGACGTCATAATGGTGACGTGCGATGTAGAGCGAAAGCCTTGCAAAGCTTGCTTTGTTTTCTTTACGGATGCCCACCTCATGTTTGCTTACCAAGTTGCCGTGCTTATATGCTTCCAATGCCTGTCATATGTTCGATTGAAGTATTACGGTATAAACAAACTGCTTGAGGATATACAGCACCATATTTTTTTTTCGGTTATTCCGTAATTCAGATCGATAACGCACTCAAAACACTGAACTCAACCCATTACGCTTCACTCAGTATATTTGCTAACACCAAAGAGTTCGCATTTTATTTAGTCATGGTAGAATGGAGATAAACATACTGTGTTTTCAATGTAGAGCTAGGTTACCTGTAGATTTAACCCCGCTAAATTTAACATTTGAAACCTCACGCTGCGCGTTCGGTTCCAAATTCAATTTAGCGGGGTTAAATCTACAGGTAACCTAGCTCTACATTAAAAACACAGTATGTTTATCTCCTAACTAACTCACTCACATCTTATGACATTTATGTATGTGTATATTAAGTAAGGCTCAAAACGAACGCTGCAACAATCTGGTGCATCCTCATATTTTGTACACCTTCCTCTTACCGTTGCTCTTTTAAACATCTACAAGAGATATTTCAGTCTGCCTGAAGAAACTATAGAACCCTATCAGCTTGTTTCAGTGTTGCTTGCCCGGCTTCCGCTGCTTGTACGATACTAACTATCCTCAGCATTGAATGCTACCCACTATAAGCCGTACTTCTTTATACTTATTTTGATGTAAATGTTAATGATAATAATATATATTTATACTGACCGTAATCATGCTCTTCTTGTTTTACCAAATAACATTTTATATTTCTTCAAGGTAAAACTGGTGACACGTCTACCGTGTGTATTAGATTAGCGAGAGCGGCCTGTTACAAACCGTACACCATCCAGACGACTATGTGTGGCGGCAGAGAGATATACCAGCTGAGTACGCAAACCACTGCAGCCGGATTCTGCTTTTGTAAGTTGTTTTGTACGAGTTTTGTAAAATCGTTTGACTCACTCACTCACTCACGCAAGAAAGCAAGCAATCCGTCATAAGTGATTGACTTGCTCAAATATGGTGTTGATATACTCTGTAATTATTGTGAACCTACCGTACCGTCCAATACGTCTAAAGAAGGGATTCTGAAAATATATCAGACGAACTCTTCGTCAAGTTATTTCAGATCTGCCGTCTTATTGCAGACACGGATGATCCATGTCTTTCGAATCCTTGCGCCAATGGAGCCACTTGCATTAAGACGTCCGGAAGCAATCACATGTGCTCATGTGCCCGCGGCTACTATGGAGAGAGTTGTGAAGGTAAGTGCATGATTCAAGTGTGCACTCGCCTGAATACGTAACAGAAGTATTTCGAAAATATACCCACATGTCTGTCTAATTATATCGGAATATTTCACACATAACGTTACCTAAGCATAACCTTGTTTTTTCTTGGCGCAATTAATATACCATATGTATGCTAAAACATACCAGTGACACTAATGAAACGGTGAATTTATGATCTGAGAAATCATGTGTACATGCTACATTCCTTGGTTTCCTGAGCTATTGGTGTCAGAGAAGTATGTTCAGCCACGTAAACATGGAATGATATTCATTTGTTTTCGCTTTCTACATCAAACAGGGTCTTGTCTGAGATATTTCTTGTTTGTTTGTTGTTAAACGCAACACTCAGCAATATTCCAGCTATATGACGGCGGTCTGGAAATAATCGAGCCTGGACCAGACAATCCAGTGATTGACATCATGAGCATCACGCTAGTGGGATACGATGACATGCATCAACCAAGTCAGCAAACCTGACCACCCGATCCCGTTAGTCGCCTCTTACGACAAGCATAGTCACCTCGTACAGAATGCATCGGTTGCTGAAGACCTATTCCAGCCCGGACCCTCACAGGGGATAAGCATGAGTTGCTAAAGACCAATTCTAACCCGGTATCTTCACAGGAAGAATGATATTCCAAAGGCCACCCAAATAAAAACCGGTTTCAGAACATGGACAATGAAACATAGTGGAATAAGTTGAGTGGTCAGAAGTCAATAACAACTGTGTCCCTGTCACATGTCCATGAAACAGTTCGACTAACTGCAAAGCCTACTCAAAGAAACATCAATACCGGCAGTCCAAGTAACAGCGTGTTAGGACTGACAAGCATGTTCACTTCACACCCGGCAGTCCAAGTAACAGCGTGTTACGACTGACAAGCATGCTCACTTCACACCTTTGCTGATGACTTCATGTTGTTGACACACACACCCAAATCAATGCAAATTATGTACCAACACAAGCTGGTCAACATTTTGCACTCCTAGACACAGCCCAGGGGCCACTGAACAACACCAACTTTTAGTTGGTGGTTGGTTGCTTTGTTGTTTAATGCCGCACTCAGCATTATTCCAGCTATATGACGGCGGTCTGTAAATAATCGAGTCTGGACCAGACAATCCATTGATTGATATCATGAGCATCGATCCACGCAATTGGGATCGACGACATGCATCAACCAAGTCAGCGAGCCTGACCACCCGATCCCGTTAGTCGCCTTTTACGACAAGCATGGGTTGCTGAATACCTATTTTACCCCGGAATCTTCACGGGGCACCAACTTTTAAACATTTGACAGTCGTTGCACTTTTATCCTTTCTGAAATGGGGTATGTTCTTCGGGACTCTTTATTATCAGATATCAGAGAGAGTGAGAACTTGCTAACATTCAGAAGCAAGCATATAACTGTCCTGTAAAACAGCACCTGAGATCTTGTAATGCTCTGCGTTTTGGTACTGCAACCAGGGTCATTTGGATAGGACCCTGGATAGATTGTTACACGAACACGTTTATTTAATAAGTGTGGCACCTTATCATGTTTTATGCACGATTTGCGATCTCGATCTTTCGAACCGAAAAGAAATCCTTACTATTACCTTGACATAGATCTACTATATTGGTTTACTGTGTTAAAAGAAATACCGCCAATTTCCGTTTCCTATTCGGTTCGGCTCACGCTCGTATTAGCAAAATACATGACCAATTTTCCAGTGCGTTTTTTCAATTGGTGTTCACAATGGTTTCTGATCTGTCCATTTAATTATGAAACTTGCATTTATTTACGACTTCTTTTCTGTTGTTCTGTTCTGTCGACTTTGGAATTGTTAGGTCTACATTAGTTTACCTCTGGTTTCTATATTACAGGAAAATTACAAATATCGAGTTGCCTGCTGGTTATTGTGCAGTAAGCGTTAAGTCTTCATACTTCCAAGTTAGGCGGGGCGGTCGGGTAGCCTAGTGGTTAAAGTGTTCGCTCGTCACGCCGAAGACCTGGGTTCGAATCCCGACATGGGTACAATGTGTGAAGCCCATTACTGGTGTCCCCAGTCGTGATATTGCTGGAATATTGCTAAAAACGGCGTAAAACCAAACTCACTCACTCACTCCAAGTTAGGCTATGTTTAGTTTCCAGTCTGTCAACATATATCTGGAAACCCCGTGTATACACTCTCCAATCATTATCTACTACATTTTGACCTCATGGCCAGCCTTTTTCTTTTATGTTGTATTGTTCCTGTTATAAAGTATTTTTTTAAAGAGACCGAATTACTGCATACATCGTATCTGGACATGTTTTGTTTGTCCATTGAAACCTGTACTGGTTAGGTGTATAATGATAAAAGCGACAAAATTATGTCCATCTTTATAAGAAATATCTGCTAAAAGCAGAGTCGATTGTACGATTGTAACTACATCATGAACATTGTTAATTAATCACTATCAAATAGTGATGATACCAGGTGTTCGCGTGTCCTGCCCCCGGTGCCACCCGTCACTAACATATGCAAAGGCAAGTCATTTGTTCGCCTGAAAAATCACGGGAACTTATGATGCAAGCCAAAACAGGGAATTGCATCGGACATCATTTTTGTCACTGGTGCGTTAAATGTGGAAATGTCATCCACATGTCTACCATGAAACCTTTTGAAAGCTTTGCTGCGGCATTGAATGTTGTGACCTTGTTCGAACAACTTCTGTGCAAATGGGGTATGACGCTCATTGCAATCCCTGTAGAAAGAACTTGCTCAATGGTACATAAACAGTTGTGAAATATAGACATCAAGGGCAGGAACTGCAGGAATATTGCTCGACATAAAGGGAAAGTTGACGATTAGAACGTTGAAGTTATCCGATTGTCATACAGTCATACATAGGCCAAATTGTTTAACAGGGGCGGTTTCGTTGACCTTCGTGATTTCTAGTTCAATTGGGTAATGTCATTTGAAGGGAATTGGCTATTAACTACTATGTTTATAACGAACACGCTTATAACGAACTGATGGATATAACGAACTTACTTTTTTGTCCCGACTATTTGCTGTAGTTATGCTGTATCTATGTTTATAACGAACTACGGTTATAACGAACTAAAATTAGAGGTCCTTTTGAGTTCGTTATAACCGTAGTTTACTGTAGTTTACAATAATTTACTGTTAAGAATGTGTTGTTTTTCACAAAATGGTTCTCAACGTTGATTCTAAATTCTATATAATAGTACGCCCTTTGATCATAGCTCTACGCTGAAATCACAGCATGTTTATCTACAAATCAACAAAAGTATATTTGTGTCTGTCCTGCATCAACCAAGTAGACGAGTCGGACCACCCGGACAGAATTATTGTCAGTATCTGTGTCACCAGACACAAGTTTTCTTGGTAGGGATATTCGTGATGTCTATCAATTTTGCTTTCAGAGATGGATCCTTGTGGAAACTTTACCGAGCTTCACAACATACCATCAAGAGCCCCAAGTTACCCAGGAAACCCCGTAGTACATGACGACAGCACACTAGCACCCGGCTGGTATGGAGTACCTGCTGGATGGGAATTATTCAGTCAGGATCCTGGCAACTCGACCAAGTGTGGAACCAGAAAGCCTATTTACAGAACGAGTAAGATGTATTCCAATACATTTCTGTAATGTTGATCATTTCTGGAAATATTAGAATCTTTCAAATGATAATTTCCTAAACTAGTCCAGTACATAAGAAAGAGAATTTATGGATGTCACTCTCAAGCTGGAATCGTGATGAATGTGGAATAGAACAGACTCATCTCGCCTACATACCTATAAAATGTTTTCTCCTACCTTTGTAGCATCACCTACTGTTTATGGCGTTCATAATTCTCAATTGTTCAGATGATTTAGAGCATGTTAATTTATTCTAATTTCATGGAAAGACACGTTTGCTATCAACTAAGCTTTCATTCAAGTTTTTACTCGCAAAGAAATGTACTGAAGAGGTTAAAACGAAAGATACTTTTCGGTAAAGGATACTTATTTCAAAACCAAAACGATCAAAGCCAGAATCCCTAAACGCGCATGACAGAGGAATGTAAGAACACTGTCTGTTTATACCGTTTCATCCCGAAACTTTTTTTTTTTCATTTATTAGTAACGTTTCCAATACATCTGCATGTTATTCATATTAACCCTCGATCAAGTTCTTTAACCTTCAAACATCATGTAACAACGTGTGCTGTTATAGGCATTTATTTGACAATTTAGACCATGACTATTTTACATTAAGGCATAAGATATATTAGTCCATACTTCCTATAGGAAACATTGTTGAACAAAACTATGTTTGGCTTGTTCAAGGTAAATCTGGTGACGCTTCTACCGTGTGCATTAGGTTCCCAAACGCGGCCTGCTACAAACCATACACAATCCGGACGACGATGTGTGGTGGAAGAGAGATATACGAGCTCAAAACGCAAATCAGTTTGTCAGGATTCTGCTTTCGTAAGTGCTTGTATGTTCCTAATATAACCGAATAGGTTCTGTGTATGTTTTCATTGTGAACAATAATGCAGATGTGATCATGGCGGAAACGTGATGTTGGGAAATGAATAATTATTCATATTCTCCATGGGTAGCGATGGGTATTTTAATGACCATTTTCAGTGATGAGAATTGCTGAAGTATGTGTTGATGTAATTTTGACTAATGTTAGCATTTTGAAACGTAAGAATCCCCCTCCTCACAATTTAACAGAGAATTCGACGAAATACATGAGAAGTCTCCCTTGACAAAAATAGTACATGGAACATGTAGATAAATAGTAACCTTAATCTGAAAACACTCTTCTTTTTAATTGCAGACACGGATGATCCATGTCTTTCCAATCCTTGCCCAAACGGAGCCACTTGCACTAAGGCAGCAGGAACCAATCACATCTGCTCCTGTCCCTCTGGATATTATGGGGCCAACTGTGACGGTATGTGCATGACGAGAAATAAAACACACACAAACTTTTTCCGTAGTCACAAGAAATCTGTGCCAAAAGCAGAGTCGATGGTATGATTCAGACTATATCATGAGCACGTGTTATTGAATCCCTCTCAAAAAGTGATGATAGAGTATCCTCTCCAACCGGTCGCATCACATGCAAAGGCAAGTCAAGTATTAACCAGAAACAAGAGAACATATGGATAAAAGCCAAAACAGGGAATCTAGTCGGACATCATTTTGGTCATTGATGCGTCAAATTTCGAAATGTCTTCCTATATCTATTATACATTATTTGTAAATTTATTTCAGACTTTGAATGAATAAATTTGTCACACAACTTTTGAGCAGGAGTTGTATGACGATCTTTGAAATCTTCGCAAAGAAACATTTTCGGTTTAACATCAAAGTTGTGAAATGTAGACAACAACGGCTGGAACTGCTAGAATATTGCTTGATATTAAGAGGAAGTTGACTATTAAAAAATACAACAAACTTCGACAAGAGCTATTTCCATCCCGTGCACAGGTTCTATTCGGGCGTCGATTGATATCACATTTGTGTACAATTTTGCTTTCAGAGATTGATCCGTGTAGAAACTTCACAGAACTTGACAACATAGCAACACGAGCCCCTGGTTACCCAGGAAACCCTGTAGTGCATGACGACAGCACACTGACCCCCGGCTGGTATGGAGCACCTGTTGGGTGGGAGTTACTCAGTCAGGATCCTGGCAACACCACCAAGTGTGGAACAAGAAAACCCATTTATAGAACGAGTAAGATGTAGTCCAATACTTTTCTGTATTGTTTAACAATTTTGGAAAATGGTAATCTTTATCTTTAATTTAATGCCTGGATCAACAATTATCAAATTACATATCATTCATCAATTTGTGCACATTTAAATCTAATTGCAGATTTAAATATTTGTTTATAATTGCATGAAGCCCTTCATGTGATATTTTCCTGAAATAGTTCAGAACAGTAGTATGTTATAAGATACCAGATAAGTTCCCACCGGAGAGGTACTAGATCTTTCCATGAAACCACTATTTCTCCCGACCAACTCTCCATTATTTACAGGCCAAGTGATGAATGCGGAGTAAAACAATATTGGTCACTGATATACCTCAAAAACACTCTCCATGCTTAATACCTCGACCTTCAAAGAATCAGTTTTTATTTCAGAAATACTGAAAGGCAATAGGCCTATAGTACATAACCTTTGTGGATAGTAGGTGGACATATTGATTTCTATTTGTTTAAGTCACTCATCGTATTATTTTTAAATTTCATTGCTTGGAATATGTACACAGTCAAAGGCTTCAGGACATTAATATTTATAGAAGCTATTAATTCATTAAACTTAAATATATCTGAAAATTGATACATTGATGGATGTAGGTATGCAATTCGTAAATTCTGACAAAATGGGCAAATGAGAACATCATTGTACTCATCTTCTATTAGCTGTAAATTACACATTCGACATCGTCTAATTTCCTTTGGGATTTTGGAATATCTTCCCGTTTCAATAGTTAATTCATGTGGTGAGCATCTGAATCTAGAAATGCAATTCTTTATTTGTACAAGAGTGGTTTCAAAGGATTTTCTGCGGTTATAAACTGTGTTTCAAACAAACTAAAGTACTGACATCTTACCACTTTTCTATGTACGTATCTGTGAACATGTGCGTACACAAGTTAACAAAATGTTCAAGACAATCTACATTTTGACCTTGCCTTTATTATTAATGTTACAGGGAATGTGTATAATCAGAGAATATGTATAATCCCTGAAATTTTCAGGGAATATATTTAATGTCTGATTCACTCAGGGAATACACATAATCCCTAAAGGTTTCAGGTATTATATATATTTCCTGATTTAACATCAAGTTTTTTAGACATATTCCCTGAAATTACTTTTGAGGCTCTGAAATGGTCAAAGTTGATTAAAAAAATAATAATTTATGAGAAGGCAAATTTATTTGACATGACAACAATTTAGTTTTTGTCGACACATGTAAGACTCGAGTGGCACCTTGAGTTACAAAGCAGCTTAGCCTTGAAACATCTACATCTGTTGGTATGACATTTCTTTGTGTCAGCACAGTTACACCGGGTGAAACCTCGCCTCCACAGTTGGATTCAAACTGCACAGTCGAGTGCAAAGTGATATGTTCTTGTCAGTGACAACGTCTTCAGTTGAGTACAATGCTGTAGCACAAATATCAAACTGGTTACGAGAGAACTTCCCATTCAGTATGCCACCTTTCACAGCTGTTGTGTACAAGTCAAGCTTCTTGACGTGATTTGATCAGGGAATCAGGAGTGTTCACAGATTCTTCTAGGTCAGGAGAACACAGATTTACGGACTCCACTGATGCTTGAGAGGAGAGGGGTGTCGCCTTTTTGGCTAGGGGCCATCGGTCGCATTCTTTTGGAGACGCATTAATTTCACAATTAACAGTATTTTAATATCATTTCTATCCTATGTTTTGATTACAGTTAAGACTAATTGTTAAGTTAAGTGAAAGGTATTTGTTATCATGTCAAATAAATTTGTCTTCTCGATTTTTTTTATCAAGTTTGACCATATAAGAGCCTCAAGTAATTTCAGGAAATATGTCTAAAACACTTAATGTTAAATCAGGGAATATGTATAATACCTGAAAATCTTAGGGATTATGTATATTTTCTGAGTGAATCGATCATTAAATATACTCCCTGAAAATTTCAGGGATTATACATATTCCCTGATTATACATATTCCCTATAACATATATACATATATATATTGGAAACCTACCACATTCACCATATACAACTACATTGGGAGTGTTTACTCTTTACTCCAAAATATCTTTCGCATGTATATACATGAATCCTTTCAAACAAATCTAACTCATGTACACCCCGCCCATATAATAGAATTGACTTTATTTTTGTGTCATTCTTTTTAAAAAAGCCCATAGAGATTCTTCTTTGCATGTGTTGCAGCCTGTCTTGAATGAATATTCCAATGTAACAATTCCAGAAAAATGTACTCCCAAATATTTATAGCTTGTAACTATGTCTAGATAGCTGTCTTTGTAAAACCATCCTTTTGGTAACATATTGCCATTTTTGAAAACAATACTTTTGGTCTTTCTTGTTGTAACACTTGAACCAAATTGTTCACAAAATTGTTCCAGCACATTTATCTAACTTTGAAGTCCAGGTACAGTACGCGAAATAATTACGATATTGGCAAACAGAAGCCAAGATATTTTATCAATATCTGGGTGTCGCTGTATACAACCTTTGCAATTATTTTGTATTTCTTCTATCTACCTTCAGAGATATTAGTTCATACTTCTTATGGAAAATATTGTTGACCAAAACTATTTTTCATTTCTTCAAGGTAAATCTGGTGACGCCTCTACCGTGTGCATAAGGTTCCCAAACGCGGCCTGCTACAACCCATATACCATCCGGACGACGATGTGTGGTAGAAGAGAGATTTACGAGCTCAAAACGGAAATCAGTTTGTCAGGATTCTGCTTTCGTAAGTGCTTTTATATTCCTAATATAACCGAATAGGTTCTCTGTATGTTTTCATAGTAAATAATAATGTACATGTGATCATGTCGGATTATGATGTTGTGAAAGCAATAATTTTTCGAGATATCGCATGGGTAGCGATGGGTTATTTGAATGACAATTTGCTGTAATCAGAATTCCTGAAGTATGTGTTGATATACTTTTGACTAATGTTAGTGTTTTGAAACGTAAGAAATCAGTTTCAGGATTCTGCTTTCGTAAGTGCTTTTACATTCCTTGCTTTACACATTTAGTTCTGTATATTTGTTGACAGTAAACAATAATGCAGATAAGATCATGATGGAAACATGATGTTGGGAAATCAATACTATTTCAAGATACAGCATGGACACTATGGGTTGTAAAATTTTAGTCATAAAGGCACAGTTACTTAAATATGTGTTAATGTATTCTTGACTCATGTTAATATTCGGAAGTTAAGAATCTTTAACAGACTTGAACAAAGAATTCTACAGCAAATATTAAAAGTCTTCGACAACAAAAATCTCATATACTGTGCAAATAAATGATATTCTTAAATCTATGAACACCCATCATTGACAACATTCTGTTCTGTTGCAGACACGGATGATCCATGTCTTTCCAATCCTTGCTTGAATGGAGCCACTTGCACTAAGGGGACAGGAACCAATCACATATGCTCCTGTGCCCCTGGTTATTATGGGGAGAATTGTGACGGTATGTGCATGAGTCGAAACGCAGACATACCAGTTATGGAAGGTAGATTTCAGATAGCATTAACTTATACCACAACATACAGCATTCATTGTGATAACTTCAATAATGCAGTAAGTACACAGTAAGTAATCCCCTCTTCTAAATTTGAACAATTATACCACATGTCTTTTCATCGATATCTCATCTGAATTTCTTGGAACAATTGCAACATTAGCAATGATGTATTTCAAATGTAACATACGGGCCTCACACAGCAGGCACACCAAATACCTGTTTCTATAAAATGTTACAGCAATACCTGATCTAGGACTGTTAGAAAACAATTTGTAATATTTGGAAATAGTGTGGGAAATGGTTTTGATATACGAGATGCTTTTTAAAATAAACCGAATCAAAATCATGAAAACTAGTTTTCAGTTACTACCTAGGTATTTCATTAAGTGCACAAGTTCCATCCCGACGCCGATTGATCGTGTGTGTGTGTACAATTTTGCTTTCAGAGATGGATCCCTGCACAAACGTTACAGAGCTTGACAACATACCATCAAGGGCCCCTAGTTTCCAAGGAAACCCGGTAGTACATGACGACAGCACACTAGCACCCGGCTGGTATGGAGCACCTGCAGGATGGGAATTACTTAGTCAGGATCCTGGGAACTCGACCTTGTGTGGAACTAGAAAGCCAATTTATAGAACTAGTAAGATGTATTCCATTTTTAAAAGTAATCCCATATATGATATACAGCGGACAAATGTATCAGAGAAGGTAATTTTTAATCATTAATGTCCAAAGAAGGATCTTAATTAACGGTGGTAACCATAATTTGTTCCAAGCACCTACGGTATTCGGTAATAACATCAACAGTTTAAACCATAAGTCCCAAGCACGAGAATCTGATGGCACACAAGTTCAGTAGCGTGTATGGCCACCATGTGCGTTGACAGCTGCCACACAACGCCTCCGCATGGACCTTGTGATACTTGTGAACACATGATTGGGAAGACGACGCCATTGTTCCTGCAAAATGGTGCCAAGATCTTGCAAATACTGTGGTTGGTTCTGGAGAGTGCGCAGACTTCTGCCAAGAGCATCCCAGACGTGTTCGATGGGATTGAGGTCAGGAGACCTTGACGGCCAGCCCATGACGAAATTCCTTTTCAAAATGCTGTGTGGGGTCTGGCATTGTCGTGTTGGAAGATCAAACCGGGTCAATGTGCTGCCATAAAAGGCAGAAGTTCTGGTGCCAGTACCTGGTCGCGTTAAGCAGGAGCGTTGAGGTTGCCACGGATGACAAGAAGCCTCGAACGTGCATTGCCACAGAGAGCATCCCACACCATGACACTTCCGCCTCGAAATCTGTCAACTTCCTGTACACAACACTGGGCGTAACGTTCATGACGGCGCCTCCGGACCCTCGCCCTACCATCAGCAAATCGAAGATTAAATCGGGATTCATCACTGAGGACGACTTGATTCCAATTCCTCTGAGTCCATCGTTAGTGTCGCTGTGCCCACAACTGACGTTGACCTCTGTGTAATTGAGTCAGAATCGGCCCGCAGTATGGCCGTCGTGCTTGAAGGTGAGCAGTTCTCAGACGGTTTCGAACAGTTATCGCACTCAGTCTACCCCTAAACAGTTCATTTTTGGTTGATGTAGCCGTCAAAATCGGTTACAGAGGTGACGTAACACAATCTGACGATCCTCTGCATGTGACGTCACACGTGGTCGACCTGGCCGTGGGCGATCAGCGGTTGTACCCGTTTGCTGTAGATGCGTCTGTAAATCATAAACAGTCCGTCGACTACAACCCATCGTCCTTGCGACTTCAGCCACGGACGTTCCTGTCGGCAACATGCCGATGGCACGTTCACGTTGCACATTTAAAAGGCGTGGCATGACAAATTGCCGTAATGACTTTTTTTTTATTGTATTTTTCTTTTTTTTTAATGACTGCTAACAAGTATGGCTGAAAACACGTGCGGTATTATGGCCATGTGACCAGTTGCACATGAAAAACCACTTTTGTCACTATAGTGCTGTGCACATGATTTTGATCGTTTCACCTGCACAAAAACGGGTGTTATCTGAAGACAATACGTGGCCATTACTGTTTAAATACACAATAAGGGCCCACAATGATAACTGGTCAAAATGTTAAAATTTTAGGATTGTGAAGTTTTTAATTTGGTTCAGTATATTTCTGTGAAGTTGAACATTTTATAAAATACTAATATCTACCTATCAGTTAGTCCCTAAATCACAAAGCGTGCAAATACAGGCTATACATCAATTGGATTCAGATTTCAATTTAATTAAAGGCTTTCATACTTTTATATAAGTAGACGTGACTTTTAATGATAATTTCCTATACTAGTCTGGTACATAAGATAGAGAATGTATGGATGTCACCCTCCATTATTTACAGACCGATGTGATAAAGCTAGAATCGTGATGAATGTGGACAAGCACAAACTGATCTGGCTTACATACCTTTAAAACGTTTTCTTCTTCCTTCATTCCATCAGCTTCTGTTGATGGCGTCCATATTTTTCAATTGTTTAGATAATTTGGAGCATGTTTTTTTAATTCTAATCTTAACTAAGCTTTTATTCAAGGTTTCAGCTCAAAGTCCAGTTGAGTTATTCAAGAGATGTACTGAATACGACTCGTTGTTTGTTAACATGATGCTATGACCTATATTTGGAGTTTCCACAACTCCTGATCCAGTAGCACTTACGTATTTAACATATAAAAAAGTTACTGGTGCTTAGCGGCTGGATACACGTTATTTACATGAATACTTTAAGTAATTGATAGTGATCAAGTCTGTTTTAAAAGATATTTGAGACTGAATATTCTCTGGCTTTTACTGGTGGAATCCTGTATATTTCTTTAATATTTAAATATCACCACCTTCATGATTGGTTCCATTTGCAAGACCATGTTACATGAATATTGATCTTCGGAAATCTGCAGCAGTGATTCCAGGACGTATGATTCTTAATAATTGGCATTCAACGTGTTCCACTCATTTCTCACAATACTCTCACATACCATCAATTAAATGTAACCTACAACAATGCAAAGGCAAGTGAGAGGTTACAACGCTAGACACGATACGGCAAACGAATATATATTTCAAAACCATACCGTTTCATAACAACACATTTTTTAAAACTTTTTTTTCATTTATTGGTAACGTTTCCAATACATCTGCATGTCTTTCATTAAAACCCTCGATCGAGATCTTTAAACTTCAAAAACAATGTCAGCATGTGTTGTTGTAAGCATTTATTTGACAGTTTAGACCCTGAAGATTTTGCATTCAGTCATTAGATATATTAGTCCATATTTACTATAGGAAACAGTATTGAACAAAACAATGTTTGGATTTTTCCAGGTAAATCTGGTGACGCTTCTACCGTGTGCATTAGGTTCCCAAACGCGGCCTGCTACAAACCATACACAATCCGGACGACGATGTGTGGTGGAAGAGAGATATACGAGCTCAAAACGGAAATCAGTTTGTCAGGATTCTGCTTTCGTAAGTGCTTATATATTCTTAATATAACCGAATAGGTTCTGTGTATGTTTTCATAGTAAATAATAATGCAGATGTTATCATGGCAGATAATGATGTTGGGAAAGGAATAATTATTCCAGATATCGCATGGATAACGATAGGTCATTGTAATGACCATTTACAGTGATCTGAATTGCTGAAGTATGTTTTGATATACTTTTGACTAATGTAAGTATTTTGAAACGTAAGAATCCCGCTCCTCACAATTTAACACAGAACTCGACGAAATACATGAGTAGTCTTCCTTGACAAAAATAGTATATGTAACATATAGATGAATGGTAATCTTAAATCTGTAAACACTCTTCTGTGCAATTTCAGACACGGACGATCCATGTCTCTCCAATCCTTGCCCGAATGGAGCCGCTTGTACTAAGGCGACAGGAACCAATCACATCTGCTCCTGTCCCTCTGGATATTATGGGGACAACTGTGACGGTATGTGCATTACGAGAAGTAAAGACCACACAAACCTTTTCCATAGTCACAAGAACTCTGTACCAAAAGCAGAGACGATGGTATGATTCAGACAATACCATGATCATGAGAACGTGGCAATGAATCACTGTAAAAAAAAGTGATGATACAAGGTGTTTGCGAAAAGGCCAGAATATATTCCCCCCATCAGTGGCACTCGTCACAAACACATGCAAAGGTAAGTCAAGCATTAACTGAAAAAACAAGAGAACATATGGAACAAGCTTAACACAGCGAATTGCATCGGACATCATTTTTGTTATTATGCTTCGAATTCAGGATTGTCTCCCAATATCCTAAATTCATTTTTTGTGAATTTATTTGAGACTTTGAATGTTGTAAACTTGATCAAACACCTTTTCAGCAAGAGTCTTATGATGATCTTTGATATCATCGTAGAGGCATGCTCGGTCTTTCAATAAAGTTGAAAAATGTAGACACCAAAGACTGGAGCTGCTCAAATATTATTTTCGATATAAAGGGAAAGTTGAGCATTGGGAAGTTCTAACAAACTTTAACAAGAGCTCTTTCCAGGCCACATCAGTTTCAAAACAATTGCACCAGGTGCTTTTGACCATGAAGCCAAAGTCAAGTCATCAAAGCTGGTTTTCAGTTACTAAATTACTATTTCATGACGTGCAGACGTTCCATCCCGACGTTGATTGATATCACATGTGTGTGCAATTTTCCTTCCAGAGATGGATCCGTGTAGAAACTTCACAGAACTTGACAACATAGCAACACGAGCCCCTGGTTACCCAGGAAACCCTGTAGTGCATGACGACAGCACACTGACCCCCGGCTGGTATGGAGCACCTGTTGGGTGGGAGTTACTCAGTCAGGATCCTGGCAACACCACCAAGTGTGGAACAAGAAAACCCATTTATAGAACGAGTAAGATGTAGCCCAATACTTTTCTGCATTGTGTAACAATTTTGGAAAATGTTTATCTTCATCTTTAATCTAATTCTTGAATCAGCATTCATAAAATTACATATCATTCATAAATTTGTTCACATTTCAATTTAATTGAAGATCTAAATATTTGTTTATAATTGGATGTGTCCCTTATATGATAATTTTCTGAACTAGTTCAGTACACTAGTATCTTATCAGACACCAAATACGTTCCCACCGGAGACGAACGTAATTCATTCCATAAAATGACTCTTCTTCCGACCCACTCTCAATTATGGGTCGAGGTTTTAAAGCTGGAAATGTGATGAATGTGGAGTAAAACACAATGCGGTTATGTATATACCTTAAAAACTACGCTCGGTGTTTAATACCTTCAGCTCGACTTCAGCTCAGCGCCCACATCTTTAAATATTTTTGTTCTTGAGTTTATGTACATATTTTCTCATTTCATGGAAACACACACTTTGTTTTCAACTAGGCTTTCATGCAAGCTTTCACCTCCAAATATCGATTTAGCCATTCCAAAACTTTTCAACATGATGTAATGACCTTTAAATGGAGTTTCCACTGGCACTTACGTTTATAATTGCAAAATGTGTGAGTGTCCGGTGCCAACATTAGAGAAGGACATGCATGGCCTATCGCGGAATTTTTTTTTGTAATTTGTCTTCAGTGATCCATTCTGTTTTTAAAGATATTTGAGAGAGATTAGTCTCTGGCGTTCACGTTTCCAGTTTAATTGTTCCTTCTGTAAATTCCTTTACTGCTTAAATCAACACCTCAATGATTGGTTCCAGTGCATCTTCATTGATATGGTAACGTTTCCATAGTCATTCATCTGTATAGTAAAAAAATCATGTCAATTTGAGTTATTCCACACAACTATTTGGCAATTAACACTCTGACTATCTGACCTTTAGGCCTGACAGAAATGAGTTCATACTTCTTATAGGAAAAAGCTGTGATTAAAACTATTTTTCGTTTCTTCAAGGTAAATCTGGTGACGCTTCTACTGTGTGCATTAGGTTCCCAAACGCGGCCTGCTACAACCCGTATACCATCCGGACGACGATGTGTGGTGGAAGAGAGATTTACGAGCTGAGTACGCAAATCAGTTTGGCAGGATTCTGCTTTCGTAAGTGCTTTTATATTCCTTGCTTAGCACTTTAAGTTCTACATATGTGTGGACAGTTAACAATAACGCAGATAAGATCAAGGTGGAAACACGATGTTGGGAAATCCTTACTATTTCAATATATAGCATGGACACTATGGGTAAGACAAATTTCAGTGATGAATGCAGTTACTTAAATGTTGATGTATTCTTGAGTAATGATAGTATTCGGAAGTTACTAATCTTAACACATTTGAATAGATAATTCAACAACATATATTAATAGTCTTCGATAACAAAACATATCATATACTGTGCAAATAAATGATATTCTTAAATCTATAAACAGCCGTCGTTACCGATATTCTGTGCTGTTGCAGACACGGATGATCCGTGTCTTTCCAATCCTTGCTTGAATGGAGCCACTTGCACTAAGGCTGCAGGAACCAATCACATATGCTCCTGTGCCTCCGGATATTATGGGGACAATTGTGACGGTATGTGCATGAGTCGAAACGCAGACATACCAATTATGGAACTTAGATTTCAGATATCTTTAGCTAATACCACAACATACAACATTCATTGTAATAACTTGAATCATCCAGTAAGTACACAGTAAATAACCCCCTCTTCTAAATTTGAACAATAATGCCAGAAGTCTTTTCATCTCACCTGAATTTCTTGGAATAATTGAAACATTAGGAATGATGTATTTCAAATGTAACATACGGGCCTCACACAGCAGGCACACCAAATACACGTTTCTATGAAATTATACAGCAATACCTGATTGAGGACTGTTACAAAACAATTTGTAATATTTTGTAAATAGTGTGGGAAATGGGTTTTGATATACGAGATGCTTTTTACAATCAACCGAAATAAAATCATGAAAACTAGTTTTAAGTTACTTGATTGGTATTTCATTAATTGTAGAAGTTCCATCCCGATGCCGATTGATCATGTGTGTGTACAATGTTGCTTTCAGAGATGGATCCTTGTGGAAACTTCACAGAGCTTGACAACATACCATCAAGAGCCCTAAGTTACCCAGGAAACCCCGTGGTACATGACGACAGCACACTAGCACCTGGCTGGTACGGAGCACCTGCTGGATGGGAATTACTCGATCAGGATCCTGGCAACTCGACCAAGTGTGGAACTAGAAAGCCCATTTATAGAACAAGTAAGATGTATTCCAGTACATTTCTGCAATGTTGAACCTTTTATAAAATACTAGTAACAAACTTATCTTGCTTACATACGTTTAAAACGTTTTTTCGGAGCTATGCTCCAATAATCCGGGGTGTCATCAAATAAGAATCCTCTTACTGACAAAACCTGACTTTCGAACGTGACCACTCCAGAAGCGAGACGATCGTGAACGATTTAACCGAGCCTGGAGGGTGAAGATACGATGTTGTTGTTTTTGTTGTTCTTGTTGTTGCGCCACCTCGACGGACACAGAGCTGGACCTCTACTAATCACTTATCCGATCCAAAATAGACTATGGTTGTGGGGCCTTTCACTCGGCATCAAATACTGGTCAAATAACTCAACCGAAGTCACAATTGTGATGACATTCAGCCACCAGAAAGTCACTACAAAGGGTTACACCCTCCCTGGACTTAAAAACCTCCCACGGTTGACACTGTTTTAACATCAGAAGTCACTGAAAAAGAAGAATCCAACCCTACTACGAACAGTAGCTATCACTAAAATTCAGACTACCTGGGACAGCTTGGTCCATATATACACAGATGGATCCAAGAATCCTATCAACAACAGTGCTGGTTACGGGATCCATATCCACAGCTCTTAACCCAAAGCACATTCGATCCGCCTGTCTGATGCTCAGTCAGTATTCACTGCTGAATTGGAGGCAATTCATGGTGCATTCAAAATCAATCCGGAACTACCAAGATTATGTAAGCGAACATACGAGAGACATCACACATCCGGTCATTACATGGTTGGAGAGTGTCATTAGATTACAAGAAAGAAATAAAGTTTGGGCCACTAATTCTCTTACGCCAAATGATCTGACTCTGTAAGATAGCGACCGCCGGTGATTACCGAGCCGTGCCGGAAATAGAGTCGGGGAACGTAGCGGCACTGGACCGTGACATGTGAAAAAGTGATCCACGGTGACACACGTTCCTTCATCCCATCAGCTCCTGTTGATGGCGTCCATAGTTCTCAATTGTTTAGATAATGTTGAGCATGTTCATTTATTTTCATTTCAACTAAGCTTTCATTTAAGGTTTCACCCTCAAAGGCTAGTTCAGTCATTTCAGAAATGTACTCAATATGACTCGTTGCTTGTCAACATGATGCTTTGTCCTTTACATGAGGTTTCCACAGCTTCTGATCTACTAGCACTTAAGTTCTTAATATATAAACAAATGTTAGTGACTGGTGCTTCTGTCGGTCGCAGGAGACACGTGTCCTTTCGCGAATACTTTGAGAATAGTGATCCAGTCTGTTTTAAGGATATTTGAGACTGAATACTCTCTGGCTTTGACGATTTGAATTCAGTTTTTCCTCTGTAAATTCCTTCAATATTAAAATATCAACACCTTCATGATTGGTTCCATTTGCAAAGCTATGTCACATGAATATTGATCTTCGAAAATATGCAGAGGTGATTGCGTATGATACTTAACAATTGGCATAAAACGTGTTCCACTCATTTCCGACAATACGCTCACATTACTTAACAGCCATTAAATGTAACATATAACAGTACAAAGGAAAGAGGTTACAACGCTAGACACTATACGACAAACGGATATATACACAAAAGGCCCATGATAAAGGAAGGGAAGAACACTGTCTGTTCATACCGTTTCATCACAACACTTATTTTTTACTTGTTCTTCATTTATTGGTAACGTTTCTATAACGTCTGCATGTCATTCATATTAACCCTCCATCAAGATCCTTAACCTTCAAAAGTCATGTCAGCATGTGTTGTTATAAGGATTTATTTGACACTTTAGACCATTAATATTACACAATCAGACATTAGATATATTAGTCCATATTTCCTATAGGAAACATTATTGAACAAAACAATGTATGGCTTTTTCCAGGTAAATCTGGTGACGCTTCTACCGTGTGCATTAGGTTCCCAAACGCGCCCTGCTACAAACCGTACACAATTCGGACGACGATGTGTGGTGGAAGAGAAATATACGAGCTGAGAACGCAAATCAGTGTGTCAGGATTCTGCTTTCGTAAGTGCTATTATATTCCAAACATAACCGAATAGGTTCTTTATATCCTTTCATAGTAAATAATTATGTAGATGTGATCATGGCAGATAATGATGTTGTGAAAGGAATAATTATTCGAGATACCGCATGGATAACGATAGGTTATTTGAATGACAATTTGCAGTGATCAGAATTGCTGAAGTATGTATTGATGTACTTTTGACTCATGTTAGTTTCTCGAAAGGCTGGAATCCCGCTCCTCACAATTTAACAGAGAATTCTACGAAATACATGTGTAGTCTTCCTTGACAAAAATAGTACATGCAACATGTAGAAAAATGGTAATCTTAAATCTGTAAACACTCTTCTGTGTAACTGCAGACACGGATGATCCATGTCTTTCCAATCCTTGCCCGAACGGAGCCACTTGCACTAAGGCAGCAGGAACCAGTCACATCTGCTCCTGTCCCGCTGGATATTATGGGGACAATTGTGACGGTATGTGCATGACTAGAATTAAAAAACACACAAACAAGTTCCATAGTCACAAGAAAACTGTGCCAAAAGCAGAGATGATGGTATGATTCAGAAAATATAACGATCATGAGTACGTGGCAAGGAATCTCTATCCAAAGGTGATGATATCAGGTGTTCGCAAAAAGGCCAGAATATATTCCCCAATCAGTGACACTCGTCACAAACACATGCAAAGGTAAGTCAAGCATTAACCAAAAATAAACAAGAGAACATATGGTGGAAGCTAAAACAACGAAGTTCATCGGACATCATTTTTTTATTGATGCGTCAAATTTAGAAATGTCTTCTTATGTCTAACATTCATTTTTTATGAATTTATTTGAGACCTTGAATATTGTAAACCTGATCTAACAACTTTTCAGCAAGAATCCTATGACGATCTTTGATATCATCGTAGAGACATGCTCGGTTTTACATCAAAGATGAGAAATGTAGCCACTAAAAGCTGGAGCTGCTCAAATCTTGCTCGATATAAAGGAAAACTTGACTATTGGAAAGTTATAACAAACTTTTACAAGATCTCGTCCCAGACCTCATCAGTTTCAAAACAATTGCACCAGGTGCGTTTGACCATGAAGCCAAAGTCAAGTCATCAAAGCTGGTTTTCAGTTACTACATTACTATTTCATGACGTGCAGAAGTTCCATCCCGTCGTTGATTCATATCACATGTGTGTACAATTTTGTTTTCAGAGATGGATCCGTGTAGAAACTTCACAGAACTTGACAACATAGCAACACGAGCCCCTGGTTACCCAGGAAACCCTGTAGTGCATGATGACAGCACACTGACCCCCGGCTGGTATGCAGCGCCTGTAGGGTGGGAGTTACTCAGTCAGGATCCTGGCAACACCACCAAGTGTGGAACAAGAAAACCCATTTATAGAACGAGTAAGGTGTAGCCCAAAACTTTTCTGCATTGTCTAACAATTTTGGAAAATTTTAATCTTCATCTTTAATCTTATTCTTGAATCAGCATTCATAAAATTACATATCATTCATTAATTTGTTCACATTTCAATTTAATTGAAGATCTCAATATTTGTTTATAATTGGATGTGTCCCTTCATATGATAATTTTCTACGGGCGAGGAACGTAATTCATTCAATAAAACGACTCTTCTTCCGACTCACTCTCCATTATGGGTCGAGGTTTTAAAGCTGGAAAAGTGATGAATGTGGAGTAAAACACAATGCGGTTACGTATATACCTGAAAAACTACTCTCCGTGTTTAATACCTTCAGCTCGACTTATTGTCGACTCGAATTATTTTTGTTCTTTGGTTTATGTACGTATTTTCTCATTTCATGGAAAAACACACTTTGTTTTCAACTAGGCTTTCATTCAAGCTTTCACCACCAAATATCGATTTAGCCATTCCAAAACTTCACACGAACTGTGACTGATCGCTTTTCAACATGATGTAATGACCTTTAAATGGAGTTTCCACAGCTCCTGATCCACTGGCACTTATGTTTATAATTGCAAAATGTGTGAGTGTCCGGTGCAAACATTAGAGAAGGACATGCATGGCCTTTCGCGGACAAATTTTGTAATTTGTCTTCAGTGATCCATTCTGTTTTTAAGGATATTTTAGAGAGATTAGTCCCTGGCGTTCACGTTTCCAGTTTAATTGTTCCTTCTGTAAATTCCTTTACTGCTTAAATCAACACCTCAATGAGTCGTTCCATTTGCAAAAATAATTCACATCTTCTGATGCCTAGGGCTGTGATTTGATGAGGACCTATGGTACTTAATTATTGGCATCAAACATGTTCCACCTATTTCTGACAATACTCTCACATTACTTCACAACAATTGCATGTAGCCTACATTGTATTACAATACAAAGGAAATTAAGAGGCTAGAATGTCAGACACAATACAGCAATGGATATATATTTAAAAACAAAACAATCAAAGGTAGAAACACTAAACGTCCATGACATAGGAGATTGAGACCACTGTCTCTTCTTACCGTTTATTCACAACACTGATATTCAGTGCATCTTCATTGATATGGTAACGTTTCCATAGTCATTCATCTGCATAGTAAAACAATCATGTCAATTTGTGTTATTTCACACAACTATTTGGCAGTTAACACTGTGACTATTTGACCTTTAGTTCTAACAGAAATGAGTTCATACTTCTTATAGGAAACATCGTGATTAAAACTATTTTTCGTTTCTTCAAGGTAAATCTGGTGACGCTTCTACTGTGTGCATTAGGTTCCCAAACGCGGCCTGCTACAACCCGTATACCATCCGGACGACGATGTGTGGTGGAAGAGAGATTTACGAGCTGAGTACACAAATCAGTTTGGCAGGATTCTGCTTTCGTAAGTGCTTTTATATTCCTTGCTTAACACTTTAAGTTCTATGTATGTATGGACATTAAACAATAATGCAGATAAGATCAAGGTGGAAACACGATGTTGGGAAATCAATACTATTTCAGGGTACAGCATGGACACTATGGGTAAGACAAATTTCAGTGATGAATGCAGTTACTTAGTGTTGATGTATTCTTGACTTATGATAGTATTCGGAAGTTAATAATCTTAACACATTTGAATAGATAATTCAACAACATATATTAACAGTCTTCGATAACAAAAAATGTCATATACTGTGCAAATAAATGATATTCTTAAATCTATAAACAGCCGTCGTTACCGATATTCTGTGCTGTTGCAGACACGGATGATCCATGTCTTTCCAATCCTTGCTTGAATGGAGCCACTTGCACTAAGGCGGCAGGAACCAATCACATATGCTCCTGTGCCTCTGGATATTATGGAGACAATTGTGACGGTATGTGCATCAGTCGAAACGCAGACATACCAATTATGGAACTTAGATTTCAGATATCTTTAGCTAATACCACAACATACAACATTCATTGTAATAACTTCAGTCATCCAGTAAGTACACAGTAAGTAATCCCCTCTTCTAAATTTGAACAATAATGCCAGAAGTCTTTTCATCTCACCTGAATTTCTTGGAATAATTGAAACATTAGGAATGAAGTATTTCAAATGTAACATACAGGCCTCACACAGCAGGCACACCAATACATGTTTCTATAAAAAATATACAGCAATACCTGATTGAGAACTGTTACAAAACAATTATTGCAATATTCTGAAAATAATGTGTGAAATGGTTTTGATATACGAGATGCTTTTTACAATAAACCAAAACAAAATCATGAAAACTAGTTTTAAGTTACTTCATTGATATTTCATTAAGTGCACAAGTTCCATCCCGACGCCGATTGATTGTGTGTGTGTACAATTTTGCTTTCAGAGATGGATCCTTGTGGAAACTTCACAGAGCTTGACAACATACCATCAAGAGCCCTAAGTTACCCAGGAAACCCCGTAGTACATGACGACAGCACACTAGCACCCGGCTGGTACGGAGCACCTGCAGGATGGGAATTACTCGATCAGGATCCTGGCAACTCCACCAAGTGTGGAACTAGAAAGCCCATTTATAGAACAAGTAAGATGTATTCCAATACATTTCTGTAATGTTGAACCTTTCATAAAATACTAGTAACAGACTTATCTCTGTTACATACGTTTAAAACGTTTTTTCGGAGCTATGCTCCAATAATCGGGGGTGTCATCAAATACGAATCCTCTTACTGACAAACCTGACTTTCGAACGTGACCACTCCAGTAGCGAGACAATCCTGAACGATTTAACCGAGCCTGGAGGGTGAAGATACGATGTTGTTGTTGTTGTTCTTGTTCTTGTTGTTGCGGCACCTCGACGGACACTCAACTGGACCTCTACTTATCACTTATCAGATCCAAAATAGACTATGGTTGTGGGGCATTTCACTCGGCATCAAATACTGATCAAATAACTCATCTGAAGTCACAATTGTGATGACATTCAGCCACCAGAAAGTCACTACAAAGGGTTACACCCTCCCTGGACTTTAAAAACTCCCACGGTTGACACTGTTTGAACATCAGAAGTCACTAAAAACGAAAACCTAGCCCTACTACGTACAGTAGCTATCACTAAAATTCAGACTACCTGGGACAGCTGGGCCCATATTTACACTGATGAATCCAAGAATCCTATCAACAACAGTCCTGGTTGCGGGATCCATATCCACAGCTCCAAACCACAAGCAAATTCGATCCGCCTGTCTGATGGTCAGTCAGTATTCACTGCTGAATTGGAGGCAATTCATCATGCATTCAAATTCATACCGGAACTACCAAGATTATGTAAGCGAACATATGAAAGACATCACACATCCGGTCATTACATGGTTTGAGAGTGTCATTAGATTACAAGAGAGAAATAAAGTTTGGGCCACTAATTCTCTAACGCCAAATGATCTGACTCTGTAAGATAGTGACTGCCGGAGATTACCGAGCCGTGCCGGAAATAAAGTTGGGGAACGTAGCGGCACTGGACCGTGACATGTGAAAAAGTGATCCACGGGGACACACGTTCCTTCATCCCATCAGCTCCTGTTGATGGCGTCCATAGTTCTCAATTGTTTAGATAATGTTGAGCATGTTCATTTATTCTCATTTCAACTAAGCTTTCATTTAAGGTTTCACCCTCAAAGGCAAGTTAAGTCAATTCAGAAATGTACTCAATATGACTCGTTGCTTGTCAACATGATGCTATGTCTTATACATGAGGTTTCCACAGCTTCTGATCTACTAGCACTTATGTTCTTAATATATAAACAAATGTTAGTGACTGGTGCTTCAGTCGGTCGCAGGAGACACGTGTCCCTTCGCGAATACTTTGAGTAATTTATAGTGATCCAGTCTGTTTTAAGGATATTTGAGACTGAATACTCTCTTGCGTTGGCGATTTAAATTCAACTTTTTCCTCTGTAAATTCCTCCAATATTTAAATATCAACACCTTCATGATTGGTTCCATTTGCAAAGCTATGTCACATGAATATTGATCTTCAAAAATATGCAGAGGTGATTGCGTATGATACTTAATAATTGGCATACAACGTGTTCCACTCATTTCCCACAATACGCTCACATTACTTAACAGCCATTAAATGTAGCCTATAACAGTACAAAGGAAAGAGGTTTCAACGCTAGACGCTATACGACAAACGGATATATATTTCAAAACCAAAACGATCAAAGGCAGAAACACAAAACGCCCATGATAAAGGAAGGGAAGAACACTGTCTGTTCATACCTATACCTACTTCCTATAGGAAACATTATTGAACAAAACTATGTTTGGCTTTTTCCAGGTAAATCTGGTGACGCTTCTACCGTGTGCATTAGGTTCCCAAACGCGGTCTGCTACAACCCATACACAATTCGGACGACGATGTGTGGTGGAAGAGAAATATACGAGCTGAGAACGCAAATAAGTCTGTCAGGATTCTGCTTTCGTAAGTGCTTTTATATTCCTTACATAACCGAATAGGTTCTGTATATCCTTTCATAGTAAATAATAATGTAGATGTGATCATGGCAGATAATGATGTTGTGAAAGGAATAATTATTCGAGATACTGCATGAATATTGATAGGCTATTTGAATGACCATTTGCAGTGATCAGAATTGCTGAAGTATGTGTTGATGTACTTTTGACTAATATAAGTTTCTGGATAGGTTAGGATCACGCTCCTCATACTTGAACAGAGAATTCTACGAAATACATGAGTAGTCTTCCTTGACAAAAAAAGTACATGCAACATGTTGAAAAATGGTAATCTTAAATCTGTAAACACTCTTCTGTGTAACTGCAGACACGGATGATCCATGTCTTTCCAATCCTTGCCCGAACGGAGCCACTTGCACTAAGGCAGCAGGAACCAGTCACATCTGCTCCTGTCCCGCTGGATATTATGGGGACAATTGTGACGGTATGTGCATGACTAGAATTAAAAAACACACAAACAAGTTCCATAGTCACAAGAAAACTGTGCCAAAAGCAGAGATGATGGCATGATTCAGAAAATATCATCATCATGAGTATGTGGCAAGGAATCTCTATCCAAAGGTGATGATATCAGGTGTTCGCAAAAACGCCAGAATATATTCCCCAATCAGTGACACTCGTCACAAACACATGCAAAAGTAAGTCAACCATTAACCCCCCAAAAAGAAGAGAACATATGGTACAAGCTAAAACAACGAAGTTCATCGGACATCATTTTTCTATTGATGTGTCAAATTTAGAAATGTCTTCTTATGTCTAACATTCATTTTTTGTGAATTTATTTAAGACCTTGAATAGTGTAAACTTGATCGAACACCTTTTAAGCAAGAATCCTATGACGATCTTTGATATCATCGGAGAGACAAGCTTGGTTTTACATCAAAGATGAGAAATGTAGCCACCAAAAGCTGGAGCCGCTCAAATCTTGCTCGATATAAAGGGAAACTAGACTATTGGAAGGTTATAACAAACTTTAACAAGAGCTCGTCCCAGACCTCATTAGTTTCAAAACAATTGCACCAGGTGCTTTTGACCATGAAGCAAAAGTCAAGTCATCAAAGCTGGTTTTCAGTTACTACATTACTATTTCATGACGTGCAGAAGTTCCATCCCGTCGTTGATTCATACCACATGTGTGTACAATTTTGTTTTCAGAGATGGATCCGTGTAGAAACTTCACAGAACTTGACAACATAGCAACACGAGCCCCTGGTTACCCAGGAAACCCTGTAGTGCATGACGACAGCACACTGACCCCCGGCTGGTATGGAGCACCTGTTGGGTGGGAGTTACTCAGTCAGGATCCTGGCAACACCACCAAGTGTGGAACAAGAAAACCCATTTATAGAACAAGTAAGATGTAGACCAATACTTTTCTGCATTGTTTAACAATTTTGGAAAATGTTAATCTTCATCTTTAATCTTTTTTTGAATCAGCATTCATTAAATTACATTTCATTCATTAATTTGTTCACTTTTCACTTTAAATGAAGACTTAAATATTTGTTTATAATTGGATGTGTCCCTTCATATGATAATTTTCTGAAATAGTTCATTACACTAGTATCTTATCAGACACCAGATAAGTTCCTACCGGCGAGGAACGTAATTCTTTCTATAAAACGACTCTTCTCCCGACTCACTCTCCATTATGGGTCGAGGTTTTAAAGCTGGAAAAGTGATGAATGTGCAGTAAATCACAATGCGGTTACGTATATACCTTAAAAATTACTCTCGGTGTTTAATACCTTCAGCTCGACTTATTGTCGATTCGAATTATTTTTGTGCTTGAGTTTATGTACATATTTTCTCATTTCATGGAAAACACACTTTGTTTTCAACTAGGCTTTCAATCAAGCTTTCACTACCAAATATCGATTTAGCCATTTAAAAACTTCACACGAACTGTGAATGATCGCTTTTCAACATGATGTAATGATCTTTAAATGGAGTTTCCACAGCTCCTGATCCACTGGCATAAATGTGTGAGAGTCCGTTGCCAACATTAGAGAAGGACATGCATGGCCTTTCGCGGTCAAATTGTGTAATTTGTTTCCAGTGATCCATTCTCTTTTTAATTATATTTCAGAAAGATTAGTCTCTGGCGTTCGCGTTTTCAGTTTAATTGTTCCTTCTGTAAATTATTTTATTGCTTAATTCAACACCTCAATGATTGGTTACATTTGCAAAATTAATTCACATCTTCTGATGTCTAAGGCTGTGATTTGATGAGGACATATTGTACTTAATTATTGGCATCAAAGATGTTCCACCTATTTCTGACAATACTCTCACATTACTTCACAACAATTACATGTAGCCTACATTATATTACAATACAAAGGAAATTAAGAGGCTAGAACGTCAGACACAATACAGCAATGGATATATATTTAAAAACAAAACAATCAAAGGCAGAAACACTAAACGTCCATGACATAGGAGAGTGAGACCACTGACTGTTCTTGCCGTTATTCACAACACTCATTTTCAGTGCATCTTCATTGATATGATAACGTTTCCATAGTCATTCATCTACATAGTAAAAAAATCATGTCAACTTGTCTTATTCCACACAACTTTTTGGCAATTAACACTGTGACTATTTGACCTTTAGGTCTGACAGAAATGAGTTCATTTCTTAAAGGAAAAAAATGTGATTAAAACTATTTTTCGTTTCTTCAAGGTAAAACTGGTGACGCTTCTACCGTGTGCATTAGGTTCCCAAACGCGGCCTGCTACAACCCGTATACCATCCGGACGAAAATGTGTGGTGGAAGAGAAATATACGAGCTGAGAACGCAAATAAGTCTGTCAGGATTCTGCTTTCGTAAGTGCTTTTATATTCCTTACATAACCGAATAGGTTCTGTATATCCTTTCATAGTAAATAATAATGTAGATGTTATCATGGCAGCCGTCGTTACCGATATTCTGTGCTGTTGCAGACACGGATGATCCATGTCTTTCCAATCCTTGCTTGAATGGAGCCACTTGCACTAAGGCGACAGAAACCAATCACATATGCTCCTGTGCCTCTGGATATTATGGGGACAATTGTGACGGTATGTGCATGAGTCGAAACGCAGGCATACCAATTATGGAACTTAGATTTCAGATATCATTAACTCATACCACAACATACAACATTCATTGTAATAACTTGAATCATCCAGTAAGTACACAGTAAGTTACCCCCTCTTCTAAATTTGAACAATAATGCCAGAAGTCTTTTCATCTCACCTGAATTTCTTGGAATAATTGAAACATTAGGAATGAAGTATTTCAAATGTAACATACAGGCCTCACACAGCAGGCACACCAATACATGTTTCTATAAAAAATATACAGCAATACCTGATTGAGAACTGTTACAAAACAATTATTGCAATATTCTGAAAATAATGTGTGAAATGGTTTTGATATACGAGATGCTTTTTACAATAAACCGAAACAAAATCATGAAAACTAGTTTTAAGTTACTTCATTGATATTTCATTAAGTGCACAAGTTCCATCCCGACGCCGATTGATCATGTGTGTGTACAATGTTGCTTTCAGAGATGGATCCTTGTGGAAACTTCACAGAGCTTGACAACATACCATCAAGAGCCCTAAGTTACCCAGGAAACCCCGTGGTACATGACGACAGCACACTAGCACCCGGCTGGTATGGAGCACCTGCAGGATGGGAATTACTCGATCAGGATCCTGGCAACTCCACCAAGTGTGGAACTAGAAAGCCCATTTATAGAACAAGTAAGATGTATTCCAATACATTTCTGTAATGTTGAACCTTTCATAAAATACTAGTAACAAACTTATCTTGCTTACATACGTTTAAAACGTTTTTTCGGAGCTATGCTCAAATAATCGGGGCTGTCATCAAATACGAATCCTCTTACTGACAAAACCTGACTTTCGAACGTGACCACTCCAGTAGCGAGACAATCCTGAACGATTTAACCGAGCCTGGAGGGTGAAGATACGATGTTGTTGTTGTTGTTCTTGTTCTTGTTGTTGGGACACCTCGACGGACACTAAGCTGGACCTCTACTTATCACTTATCAGATCCAAAATAGACTATGGGTGTGGGGCATTTCACTCGGCATCAAATACTGATCAAATAACTCATCCGAAGTCACAATTGTGATGACATTCAGCCACCAGAAAGTCACTACAAAGGGTTACACCCTCCCTGGACTTTAAAAACTCCCACGGTTGACACTGTTTTAACATCAGAAGTCACTGAAAAAGAAAACCCAACCCTACTACAAACAGTAGCTATCGCTAAAATTCAGACTACCTGGGACAGCTGGGTCCATATATACACTGATGGATCCAAGAATCTTATCAACAACAGTCCTGGTTACGGGATCCATATCCACAGCTCCTAACCCTTAGCACATTCGATCCGCCTGTCTTATGCTCAGTCAGTATTCACTGCTGAATTGGAGGCAATTCATCATGCATTCAAATTCATACTGGAACTACCAAGATTATGTAAGCGAACATATGAGAGACATCACTCATCCGGTCATTACATGGTTTGAGAGTGTCATTAGATTACAAGAGAGAGAAAAGTTTTGGCCACTAATTCTCTAACGCCAAATGATCTGACTCTGTAAGATAGCGACCGCCGGAGATTATTGAGCCGTGCCGGAAATAGAGTCGGGGAACGTAGCGGCACTGGACCGTGACATGTGAAAGGTGATCCACGGTGACATACGTTACTTCATCCCATCAGCTCATGTTTATGGCGTCCATAGTTCTCAATTGTTTAGATAATGTTGAGCATGTTCATTTATTCTCATTTCAACTAAGGCTTTCACCCTTAAAGGCCAGTTAAGTCCTTCCGGAAATGTACTCAATATGACTCGTTGCTTGTCAACATGATGCTATGTCCTTTTCATGAGGTTTCCACAGCTTCTGATCTACTAGCACTTATGTTCTTAATATATAAACAAATGTTAGTGACTGGTGCTTCTGTCGGTCGCAGGAGACACGTGTCCTTTCGCGAATACTTTGAGTAATTTATAGTGATCCAGTCTGTTTTTAAGGATATTTGAGACTGAATACTCTCTGGCGTTGTCGATTGAAATTCAATTTTTTTCCTCTGTAAATTCCTTCAATATTAAAATATCAACACCTTCATGATTGGTTTCATTTGCAAAACTATGTCACATGAATATTGATCTTCGGAAATCTGCAGCAGTGATTGCGTATGATACTTAATATTTGGCATAAAACGTGTTCAACTCATTTCCCACAATACTCTCACATTACTTAACAGCCATTAAATGTAGCCTATAACAGTACAATGGAAAGAGGTTACAATGCTGGACACTATACGACAAACGGATATATATATCAAAACCAAAACGATCAAAGGCAGAAACACAAAACGTCATCAACTATCAGAACAAGATCACCGACCGATATTCTGCAACCACCAACTCTCCATCGATGCCTTACTGTCAAGTTAGGTAAGTACTCTCTCATCCATCGGCGATTCAGATGACCTGCAAGGACTTGGGCTTGGCGCCATCTTTTTCTGCTGCACATCTCTTTGTCCTGGAACACATCAACTGGTTGGAATGGGTTAGATCTGCCGAGCAAAAAATTGTTCGATGTCAAGGCGGTGAAGTCGTTTGGGTTTGCACTGTTATAAGTCAAAGGTCGACTGTTCAGCATTGCTTCGACTTCAATCAGAGATGTGCAAAGCACAGATTCATGAACACAGGTTCCTTTCAAAACACAATTTCAGGCTGTTTTTACAGATCTCACCAGTCGTTCCCATGCACCACCAAAGTGCGGGCTAAGCGGTGGATTAAAGTGCCACTAAGAAGTCACTGATTTTGGCTTGTTTGAGATTGTGAAGGCACTGACGGAGTTCGTTGTCTGCTCCATGAAAGTTTGTACCGTTATCGCTATACAAATGTTGAGGGTTTCCACGACGCCCAATAAAGTTTCTGAGAGCGAGAAGAAAATCATCTGTTTCCAATGAATCAGCAAGCTCAATGTGTACTGCCCTTACAGACAGACAAGTAAACAAACATCCCCACCTTTTCATTGTGCTTCGCTTGAACTCTACCAAAATCAGGCCAAAGTAGTCCACTCCAGTATGAGAGAATACTCCATCTGTAAGGCTTACACGACATGATGGAAGGTCTGCCATCTTGGGTGCAACTGGATTCACGGAACGCTTCCTACACTCTTGACAACTTCTGACAGCACGCTTTTCTTACTTTCTTGCACGAAGAGGCCAGAATCGCTGTCTAACTGTAGCTATAATGTGTTCAATACCACAGTGAGCATTTTCCTTGTGAGTTTTATTCATCAGTAGCTGTGTGACTGGGTGATAATCTGTAAGGAAAAGTTGATTCTTCGCTTCTCTTGGAATAGTAGCTTTTCGAAGTCGTCCTCCCACTCTGAGATGTCGTCCATCATAGAATGGTGATAGTGTTATCAGAGATGATTTTGGAGATATTTCGTTTCCGGATTGAGCCCAATAAATCTCATCTTGAAATGCATCCTTTTGTGCTTCTTGAACCCAGGCGAGCAATGCTTCCTCACACTCACTCACTGTCAGACTTTCATCTGTTACAGGTTTGAGGTCAAGATGCCTGAGTTTTTTTACAGAAAGTTTCTGGCTGCTCTGAGAACCCAAGCTGAAATGCGACACAATCTTTGCCATGTAGCATAGTCAGCTGGATTCAACAAATTTGAGATTTGTGGTTCAGTCAAATGTCTTTGATTCAGACTGATTTCAGATGATGCATTTCTAGTGCTCTTGAACACACTTTTCTTCACTTCAAGATCATCACTAAGCATATCAACAGGGTTTGACAGTTTTGGCCATGTGTCCTCACTTTTCCATAAGAACTCTGGACCCCGCAGCCATGGATGTGTTTCTGTGTGCTGTTTTGCTTGAAGTCCGCGAGTACAGTGATCAGCCGGATTGATATCTGATGGGACATGACGCCATTGTTGAGGTTTTGTGGAATCGTGGATTTCTGCTATCCTGTAAGCGACGAAAGGCTTGAATCGCTTGTTCGAATTGTTCAAATATTGTAACACTGTATTTGAGTCAGTCCAAAACTGAATTCTCTGGACAGGGACCATCAATTCTTCTTTGAGAGAAAGCCAAAGTCTAACCGCTAATACTGCACCTTGCAGTTCCAGCCTTGGAATTGTCAATGCAGGATTTAGGGGGGACACACGCGTCTTTGCAGCCAGGAATGAACAAGTCACTTCATCCTGGTCAGGGTAAGATTTGTAGCGCATGTATGCACATGCTCCAAAGCTTTTCTCGGAGGCATCTGCGAACAGATGAACTTCAATGAGACTGGATTGTGATGAAAAGCCCTGGTGATGCCTGCACAGGTTGAATGATGACAAGTCTTGAATTTCTTCCAGCCAGCCATTCCATCTTGATTGAATATCTAGTGGCAAGTTATCATCCCAATCAAGACCTAGCTTCCATAAGTCTTGTATGAGACACTTTGCGCGAACTGTGTATGGAGCCAAATACCCACAAGGATCAAAGATGGAGCTCACCATGTTTATCACACCTCTCTTTGTTCTGGCACTGTTGTGAATTCTCGGATCAAACACAAAAGTGTCCGAGACAATATTCCATTTTAGTCCAAGGGCTCTGATAGTGGATATTTCATTAAGATCAAGATTCTTTGAGCTAACAGCTCTTTCACTTTCAGGGATTGATTCCACTTGTGGAGGTGAAATCCACCCATTTTCATGAGGTATGTAATGTCTTGGATCAGCTGCACTGCAGTAGTTTCAGTCTCAACTGATTTCAAAAGATCATCAACATAGTAATCATTGAGGGCTGTATCAATCACTGACTGCTCAAATAGGTCAGCATTGTCCTTAGCTGTGCGTAGTTTGCACAAGAGGATGAGTCAGCTGCTCCAAACACATGTACTTTCATACTGTACACATCCGGAGAACCAGGAGTCTTGAGATCGGATTTCCATAGAAATCTGAGTGCTTCAGAGTCCTCCTTAGGGACCCCCACTTGATGGTACATACCTTCTATATCAGCAGCTATCGAAACTTCAAAAAGTCTGAATCGCTGGAGAATGCCAAACAAACTGTTGACGAGATCAGGACCAGTCATTAATTTGTCATTCAGAGATGTGCCCAAGTATGAAGCCGCATGGTCGAACATAACTCTCACCTTCCCTGGCTTATTAGAATTCATCACACCGTGATGAAGTAAGTACCGGGTACAACATGATGAATTGTCAATTTCTTGAGCCAAGAGTTTCTCTGCTTGATCCTTTGACACATAATCGTTGAAAGTTTTGCTATAAAGAACACCAAATTCAGAGTCTCTCACAATGCACTTGGTTAAGATTTTGAGTCTTCTTTGAGCTGCTTTCAAGTTGTTTGGCAATGGTGATTTATCACGCCACAGCATGCCAATTTGATATTGTCCTTCAATGAGTTGAGTCGTTGTTTCAAGGATGTATTGTGCCTTTTCATCTTCAGTTGAATAGGGCTTTGTCTTGTTGTGTGAAATCCCAAAAGATTCTGTTTTCCAGAAGTCTTCAAGCTGATCACTCAAATGTTGATCACGAGCAATTGTGAGGTTAATTCTAGCTTGAGTTTCATGATACAGTTCATCATCACTGTGGGCTATTCCCATGACTGTCCACCCCAGCAGGGTTTTGACTGCAACGGGTTGATTTTCAAGTCCTCGGATCATGTCAAGTTGAAGGTGTGCTTCAGGGACATCAACACCAATCAACATGTTGACCTGGGTGTGTTCAATATCAGGCAATTGCAAGTCTTTGAGCTGTTCCCATTCATCACTGATACGCTGAGGAAGGCAATCAAAGGCATTAGTATCAACTGCCCAAGCTTCTTTCAAATGTATTCTCTGTGCATCAAGATCACTAGCTGATTCAGTGTCAAGTGATACCTTAAGGGAGTTTTCAGTTGAAACACTGTTGTATGTTTTAACCTTGAGCTTTAATTTCTTCTCTTTCCATGGAGACCTAAATCTTTTACCAGATCCCTATGAATAAGGGTGACATCACTTCCTGAGTCTAACAGGGCAAAAGTCTTGATTATTCTGCCTTTTGGACCAAAAGCATGAACAGGAACAATCTGCAAATACACTTTTGCTCTGGATGACTGCAGTTTCTTATTATAAACCACCAGTGGCTCAGAAAAAAACATTGTGCAGTAGTGTGTGATGTTTTTTACCACAATGTTTCTCTTGGCAAGTCACAGTAGAGAAACATTTGTTTGCTCGATGTGATGGTTTAAGACAGTTGAAGCACAAACTGTGATCGACAATTATGTCCCTTCTCTCAGATGCAGGCTTGTTTGCGAAAATAGGACACCTGTACAGGTAATGAGACTCACCACACAATGCACATGGCGCTTTTGCCTGTTTTGGTGTTGTATCTACATTGTCAGTAATTGTTGGCGGTTTTGTTGATTGCTTTCTAACAATCCACTTCTCTTGACGCTTGGTGTGCTGTGTGTTATTCTTGCGACGTTTGTTGGTGTCTTCACGTGATGGCTCACTCAATTTCGGGATGGCATATGGGTTGAAGTCTGCTTCAACACGATCTCTCAACCAGTTCTGCAGATCAGTGAGGTTCGGGTCTCTGAAAGAAACAATGTTTCTAACGAACTCATTCCACCGGGTTACTTTGTCGATGGGAAGGCGCCTTGAAACTTTCAACACAATGTCAGAGCTGTTAAGGTCAGACAGGTTATTCAGTTGCTGCAATGTCGCAATAGTCACGAACAGCAACATAGAGTCTACGCAATGCAGATGGATCATGACTAGGGACTTGTGCTCCTGAGGCCACGCTATCAATGAAAGCTCTGCATACTTTTATTCTATGACCGAATGAAGCTTTCAGCTCCTTGAGTGCCAAAGCATAGTTTCTTCCACTGTAACCAAGTCCTTGAATAAGTCGTTTGGCTTCACCATCAACATGCGATTGAAGTATGTCCATGCGTCTGGTGTCTGTAATGGCAGGCCTGCAGTGTATCTGCACGAAAAATTGCTCAACAAATCGTGGCCAGGTAAGAGCTTCACCATTAAACACTGGCAAGTCGATCTTTGGTAGATCACGTTCACTTTCAAGTTTTATCAGTGTATGTGACAGATTCTCATGTACATCCAGGAACACTGGTGTGGTTTCTTGTCCGATGATTAATTCGTCTATCCACAAATCGATAGACTGCTGTTTCATGTGCACTTGTTCAAGTCTTGACTGTGGTAGTTGTTGTGTCATGGGTTCTTGGTAGAATGGCTTTGCATGAGGGTTAAAATGACTTGTATGTTTTAAATCAGTCTGATCCAGCCACTGCTGTATGTACGCTTTACTGTCGTGTTTAGTTGCAAGCAGATCAGCTTGATTTTCACTGTCGTTCACCATAGTTTGGTACATACGATGTTCAAGATCGGCCACTTCTTTAAGATGTCTTGCCTCTTATCGCGCCTTTTCAGCTTGTAAGTCAGCAATTTGGGAAACTAGTTTTGCATTTTCCTCAGCATGAACAACTTTTAACTTTACTTGCTCACTTTTCATTGCTGCACTGTGTTCAGTAACTTGTGTGTTGAATGTGGAAGCAACTGATACACTTTTAACACTGGTTCGAGTTAAATACACTGCTATCTGGTGAATAACATCATTTGCCACATCAAATCTGTTATTAAACCACTCTTCTTCATACCGAGTTTGTTCAGTGTCAAGCGATTCAATATGACGTTTGTGTGCAATAGTGAACGATTTTATTGCCGCTTCTAACTGTTCAAGTGTTTGCCCGAGTTTTCGTTTGGAACGACCGGCTGTCATTTCACTTGAAGCTCTATTACACGAAGCAGTAACATGGGCTGAATGTCCACGACGGACATGCTTCAATTCATCCCTGTTTGTGGTCACAGAATCGTCGTCTGACATGGCGAACTACAATCTTCATAAACACATGTTTCGTAAATAGTGTTCAGTTTTCGATCATGCATTACACACAGTTGGAAACTTTATGTTCGTAAGAGAACATAAAGAATTAAAGTCTTTCGTTTCAAAAGTTTATTCCTGCTACACCATCACTTGGATACATGAAATTGTGTTTGTGTTTTGCTTCATGCGTCTCATAGCAAGTCATACATGTGTTTTACCTTCTAACGAGTTTCTTCATGTTTCCAACTGTGTTGGACCGCAGGTGACATACTAAGGGGAAGTAATTCTCGAAAGTTACGGAAAAACATAAATTGCTATTTAGTAGCAGCTTAAATTAAAACGAAAAATGATTCCACTTATTGTCAACAGATTTAGTTGACACTTTAGAACATTTATATTACACAATCTGACATGAGATATATTAGTCCATACTTCCTATAGGAAAATTTTTTGAACAAAACAATGTTTGGCTTTTTCCAGGTAAATCTGGTGACGCTTCTACCGTGTGCATTAGGTTCCCAAACGCGCCCTGCTACAAACCGTACACAATTCGGACGACGATGTGTGGTGGAAGAGAAATATACGAGCTGAGAACTCAAATCAGTCTGTCAGGATTCTGCTTCCGTAAGTGCTTTTATATTCCTAACATAACCGAATAGGTTCTTTATATCCTTTCATAGTAAATAATAATGTAGATGTGATCATGGCAGATAATGATGTTGTGAAAGGAATAATTATTCCAGATACCGCATTGATAACCATAGGTTATTTGAATGACAATTTGCAGTGATCAGAATTGCTGAAGTATGTGTTGATGTACTTTTGACTCATGTTAGTTTCTCGAAAGGTTAGAATCACGCTCCTCACAATTTAACAGAGAATTCGACGAAATACATGAGTAGTCTTCCTTGACAAAAATAGTACATCCAACATGTTGAAAAATGGTAATCTTAATCTGTAGACACTCTTCTGTGTAACTGCAGACACGGATGATCCATGTCTTTCCAATCCTTGCCCGAACGGAGCCACTTGCACTAAGGCAGCAGGAACCAGTCACATCTGCTCCTGTCCCGCTGGATATTATGGGGACAATTGTGACGGTATGTGCATGACTAGAAATAAAAAACACACAAACAAGTTCCATAGTCACAAGAACTCTGTACCAAAAGCAGAGACGATGGTATGATTCAGACAATATCATGATCATGAGTACGTGGCAATAAATCACTATCCAAAAGTGATGATATCAGGTGTTCGCAAAAAGGCCAGAATATATTCCCCAATCAGTGGCACTCGTCACAAACACATGCAAAGGTAAGTCAAGAATTAACCCCAAAAAAAGAAGAGAGCATATGGTACAAGCTAAAACAACGAATTTGTGAATTTATTTGAGACCTTGAATATTGTAAACTTGATCGAACACCTTTTCAGCAAGAATCCTATGACGATCTTTGATATCATCGAAGAGACATGCTCGGTTTTACATCAAAGATGAGAAATGTAGCCACCAAAAGCTGGAGCTGCTCAAATCTTGCTCAATATAAAGGGAAACTTGACTATTGGAAAGTTATAACAAACTTTAACAAGATCTCGTCCCAGACCTCGTCAGTTTCAAAACAATTGCACCAGGTGCGTTTGACCATGAAGCCAAAGTCAAGTCATCAAAGCTGGTTTTCAGTTACTAAATTACTATTTCATGACGTGCAGAATTCCATCCCGTCGTTGATTCATATCACGTGTGTGCAATTTTGCTTTCAGAGATTGATCCGTGTAGAAACTTCACAGAACTTGACAACATAGCAACACGAGCCCCTGGTTACCCAGGAAACCCTGTAGTGCATGACGACAGTACACTGACCCCCGGCTGGTATGGAGCACCTGTTGGGTGGGAGTTACTCAGTCAGGATCCTGGCAACACCACCAAGTGTGGAACAAGAAAACCAATTTATAGAACGAGTAAGATGTAGCCCAATACTTTTCTGCATTGTCTAACAATTTTTTGAAAATTTTAATCTTGATCTTTAATCTAATTCTTTAATCAGCATTCATAAAATTACATATCATTCATTAATTTGTTCACATTTCAATTTAATTGAAGATTTAAATATTTGTTTATAATTGGATGTGTCCCTTCATATGATAATTTTCTGAAATAGTTCAGTACACTAGTATCTTATCAGACACCACATACGTTCCCACAGGAGATGAACGTAATTCATTCCATAAAACGACTCTTCTTCCGACCCACTCTCCATTATGGGTCGAGGTTTTAAAGCTGGAAATGTGATGAATGTGGAGTAAAACACAATGCGGTTACGTATATACCTTAAAAACTACTCTCGGTGTTTAAATACCTTTAGCTCGACTTCAGCTCAGCACCCACATCTTTAAATATTTTTGTTCTTGAGTTTATGTACATATTTTCTCATTTCATTGAAAAACACACTTTGTTTTCAACTAGGCTTTCATTCAAGCTTTCACCACCAAATATCGATTTAGCCATTCCAAAACTTCCAACGAACTGTGACTGATCGCTTTTGAACATGATGTAATGACTTTTAAATGAAGTTCCACAGCTCCTGATCCACTGGCACTTACTTTTATAATTGCAAAATGTGTCAACTTGTGTTATTGAACACAACTATTTGGCAATTAACACTGTGACTATTTGACCTTTAGGTCTGACAGAAATGAGTTCATACTTCTTATAGGAAACAATGTGATTAAAACTAGTTTTCGTTTCTTCAAGGTAAATCTGGTGACGCTTCTACTGTGTGCATTAGGTTCCCAAACGCGGCCTGCTACAACCCGTATACCATCCGGACGAAAATGTGTGGTGGAAGAGAGATTTACGAGCTGAGTACGCAAATCAGTTTGTCAGGATTCTGCTTTCGTAAGTTTTTTTATATTCCTTGCTTAACACTTTAAGTTCTATATATGTGTGGACAGTAAACAATAAAGCAGATAGGATCAAGGTGGAAACACGATGTTGGGAAATCAATACTATTTCAAGATACAGCCTGGACACTATGGGAAAGACAAATTTCAGTGATGAATGCAGTTACTTAAATGTTGATGTATTCTTGACTTAAGATTATTAACTTCCGAATAATCTTAACACATTTGAAAAGATAATTGAACAACATGTATTAATAGTCTTCGATAACAAAAAATATCATATACTGTGCAAATAAATGATATTCTTAAATCTATAAACAGCCGTCGTTACCAATCTTCTGTGCTGTTGCAGACACGGATGATCCATGTCTTTCCAATCCTTGTTTGAATGGAGCCACTTGCACTAGGGCGACAGGAACCAATCACATATGCTCCTGTGCCCCCGGATATTATGGAAACAGTTGTGACGGTATGTGCATGAGTCTAAACACAGACATACCAGTTATGGAACTTAGATTTCAGATGGCATAAACTAATACCACAACATGCAGCATTCATTGTAATAACTTCAATCATCCAGTAAGTACACAGTAAGTAATCTCCTCTTCTAAATGTGAACAATAATGCGAGAAGTCTTTTCATCTCGCCTGAATTTCTTGGAATAACTGAAACATTAGGAATGAAGTATTTCAAATGTAACATGCGGGCCTCACACAACAGGCACACCAAATACATGATTCTATAAAATTATACAGCAATACCTGATTGAGGACTGTTAAAAAACAATTATTGTAATATTTTTTCAATAGTGTGGGAAATGGGTTTTCATATACGAGATGCTTTATACAATAAACACGAAATAAAATCCTGAAAACTAGTTTTCAGTTACTTGATTGGTATTTCATTAAGTGCACAAGTTCCATCCCGACGCTGATTGATTGTGTGTGTGTACAATTTTGCTTTCAGAGATGGATCCTTGTGGAAACTTCACAGAGCTTGACAACATACCATCAAGAGACCCAAGTTACCCAGGAAACCCTGTAGTACATGACGACAGCACACTAGCACCCGGCTGGTATGGAGCACCTGCAGGATGGGAATTACTCGATCAGGATCCTGGCAACTCGACCAAGTGTGGAACTAGAAAGCCCATTTATAGAACGAGTAAGATCTATTCCAATACATTTCTGTAATGTTGAACATTTTATTAAATACTAGTAACAGATTCATCTTGCTTACATACGTTTAAAACGCTTTTATCGTTCTTGGGACGAACATAAAACCCTTTAGTGAAAATAATATGGCAAGACAAAAACACCCGAGATGAAGCCCTAGCTTAGAAAAATCCCTTACTAAAGCCATCTGGGATGTTACTATGAGAACTCATCCGAAGTCACATATGTAATGGCATTCAGCCACCAGAAAGTCACTACAAAGGGTTACACCCTCCCTGGACTTTAAAAACTCCCATAGTGGACACTGTTTGATCATCAGAAGTCACTAAAAACGAAAATCCAACCCTACCACGAACAGTAGCTATCACTAAAATTCAAACTAACTGGGACAGCTAGGACCATATAGACACTGATGGATCCAAGAATCTTTCAACAACAGTGCTGGTTACGGGATCCATATCCACAGCTCCTAACCCCAAGCACATTCGATCCGCCTGTCTGGTGGTCAGTCAGTATTCACTGCTGAATTGGAGGCAAGTCATCATGCATTAAATACATGAGAAATATCTCAATGTAGATAGAATTTCTCCTTATGTTTACAAACAATAAATACAAAAAACAAAAACATTTTCAATACAAGACTATGTAAGCGAACATATGAGAGACATCACACATCCAGTCATTACATGGTTTAAGAGTGTCATTATATTACAAGAGAGAAAACAAGTTGGGCCACTAATTCTCTAACGCCAAATGATCTGACTCTGTGAGATAGCGACCACCGGAGATTACCGATCGGTGCCGGAAATCGGGGAACTTAGCGGCACTGGACCGTAACATGTGATAAAGTGATCCATAGTAACACACGTTCCTTCATCCCATCAGCTCCTGTTTATGGCGTCCATAGTTCTCAATTGTTTAGATAACGTTGAGCATGTTCATGTATTCTCATTTCAATTAAGGTTTCATTTAAGGTTTCACCCTCAAAGACTAGTTAAGTCATCCCAGAGATGTACTGAATATGACTCGTTGCTTGTCAACATGATGCTATGTTCTTTTCATTGAGTTTCCACAGCCCCTGACCCATCAGCATTTACGTTCTTAATATATAAAAAAAGTGTCAGTGACTTGTGCTCCCTGTCAGGCGCAGTAGACACGTGTCCTTTCGATAATACGTTGAGTAGTGAGTGAGTGAGTATGGTTTTACGCCGCTTTTAGCAATATTCCAGCAATATCACGGCGGGGGACACCAGAAATGGGCTTCACACATTGTACATATGTTGGGAATCGAACCCGGATCTTCGGCGTGACGTAATACGTTGAGTAATTAATATTGATCCAGTCTGTTTTTAAGAATATTTGAGACTGAATACTCTCTGGCGTTGACGATTTGATCTTCGGAAATCTGCAGCGGTGATTGCGTATGATACTTGATAATTGGCATAAAACGTGTTCCACTCATTTCCCACAATACTCTCACATTACTTCATATCAATTAAATGTGTACAATAATATACAGGAAATTGAGAGGTTAAAAAGCAAGACACTATGCGGCAAGAGACTTATATTTCAAAACCAAAACGATCAATGACAGAAACACAAAACGCCCATGATATAGGAAGGGAAGAACACTGTCTGTTAATACCGTTTCACCACAACATTTATTTTTTTACTTTTTCTCCATTTATTGCATGTCATTCATATTAACCCTCGATCAAGATCCTTAACCTTAAAAAATCTTGTCAGCGTGTGTTGTTATAAGCATTTATTTAACAGTTTAGACTATGGATATTTTACATTCAGACATTAGATATATTAGTCCATACTTCCTATAGGAAACATTATTGAACAGAACTATGTTTGGCTTTTTCAAGGTAAATCTGGTGATGCTTCTACCGTGTGCATTAGGTTCCCAAACGCGGCCTGCTACAAACCGTACACAATTAGGTCGACGATGTGTAGTGGAAGAGAGATATACGAGCTGAGAACGCAAATCAGTTTGTCAGGATTCTGCTTTCGTAAGTGCTTTTATATTCGTATTATAACCGAATAATAACCAAAATTATGTTCTTGATATTTTTTCATTGTGAACTATGATGTAGATGTGATCATGACGGAAACATGATGTTTAGAAATGAATATCTATTCACGATACTGCATGGGTAACGATGGGTTATTTGATTACCCTTTCCAGTGATAAGAATTGCTGAAGTATGTGTTTTTGATGTACTTTTGACTAATGTAATGTTGACAAAAAAAGGGACATGTAACATGTAGATGAATGGTTATCTTAAATCTGAAAACACTCTTCTGTATAATTTCAGACACGGATGATCCATGTCTTTCCAATCCTTGCCCGAACGGAGCCACTTGTACTAAGACAACAGGAACCAATCACATCTGCTCCTGTCCCGCTGGATATTATGGGGACAACTGTGACGGTATGTGCATGACTAGAAATAAAAACCACACAAACCTTTTAAGAAATCTGTGCCAAAAGCAGAGTCGATTGTATGATTCACACCATAGCATGAGCACGTGTTAATGAATCACTATCAAAAAGTGATGATATCAGGTGTTCTCGAAAAGGCCAGAGTATCCTCTCTCACCACTGGCATTCGTCACAATCACATGCAAAGGCAAGTCAATATTTACCTGAAAAAAATATCAGACATCAGTTTTGTCCTTGAATCCTTGAATGTTGCAAACTTCTCGTATGACGATCTTTATAAAGTTCGTGATCAGAGGCATATGCTCGGTTTTACATCAAAGTTGAGAAATGTAGACACCAAAGGCTGGAGCTGCTCGAATACTGCTCGATATAAAGGGAAAGTTTAGTTTTGGAAAGTTATAAAAAAACTTTGACAAGAGCTCGTTCCAGACCTCATCAATTTTAAAGCAATCACACCAGGTGCTTTTGACCATGAAGCCAAAGTAAAGTCATAAAAAGCTGGTTTTCAGTTACTAAATTACTATTTCCTGATGTGCAGAAGTTCCATCCCGTTGTTGATTGATATCACATTTGTGTACAATTTTGCTTCCAGAGATGGATCCGTGTGGAAACTTCACAGAGCTTGACGACATATCAACACGAGCCCCTGGTTACCCAGGGAACACCTTAGTCCGTGACGACAGCAAACTGGCCCCCGGCTGGTATGGAGCACCTGCTGGGTGGGAACTGCTCAATCAGGATCCCGGCAACACCACGACATGTGGAACCAGAAAACCCATTTATAGAACGAGTAAGATGAAGTCCAGTACTTTTCTGTATTTTTATGATTTTGGAAAAAGCTAAGGTTTACCTTTCATTTAATTCCCGAATCAACAATTGTCAAATTACATATCATTCATTTGTTCATATTCCAATTGAATTGAAGATTTATATATTTGTTTATAAATGGATGTGGTCCTTCAATGAAATTTTCGTTAACTAGTTCAGTACAGTAGCATGTTATCAGATACCAGATACGTTCCCAACGTCAAGGAACGTAAATCATGCCATAAAACCACTATTTTCCTGAGCCACTCTCCTATATTTAGCGAGGAGTGTGATGTAAAACAGAAATCACTCACTTACATACTCTCGTCACTTAATAACTTCAGTTCGATTGATGGCGTCTGCACGTCTCAATTATTTGAGTTCTTAAGTGCATGTATATATATTCACATTTCCTGTAAACACACTTAGTTTTTAACTGATTTGACAATCAAGAGCCGGCTAAGTAGAAATGTCATGGGAGACATTTGGTGAAATTTATTAATTTGACTTGTCAACATTTCGCTTGTCAACATGATGCTATGACCTTTAAACTGAGTTTACACAGCTCACCCAGCGTGTGAGCTGCCGGTTCTACCTGTACAGCAGGACATGCGTACGTTTTCGCGAACATCGGGTGTCATTTTCAGTGATCGGATATGTTTATGAGGATATTTGAGACCGAACATTCCCTGTCGTTGACGTTTCAAAATTAATTGTTCCCTCTGTAACAACACCTTTATGATTGCTTCTTTTTTCAAAACTATGTCACTTGTATATTGATTTTCGGAAATCTGCAGCATTGATTGGAGAACATATGATACTGAATAAATCATTAAACATGCTGCACCAATTTCCGCACAATGCTCTCACATTACTTCACGCCAATTAAATGTAGCATATAACAAAACAAACGATATTGGGAGGTTAAAACGTGAGACACTATAAGGCAACGGATATATATTTCAAAAGGATCAAAACTTGAAACAGTGAACGCCCATGACAAAGAAGAATGTGAACACTGTTCATGCTGTTCACACCACTAAATGTTATATTTAGAATAAAACTTTATGAGTAAAGTACAGATTCTGGTACTAATTGGGGTTGAGTCACTCAGAAAGTGTTATCTCATATATAACATTTGTTAATTTAACCACTTTCTAAATAGCATTGTGTGTTTATAGCTTTCGGCCTTTGGAGCCGTGCCAATTTACACATGTCAGAGGGGTACACAAAGTACATGATCTAGACTACCAGTTATCTGACTTCCATTTTTGTGTAGGCTCGGTAGCTGAGTGGTTTAGATCGCATACTTTGTGTGCTGGCGATTAGGTGCCTCACACTGGCGGCGTGGGTTCGAGTCCTGTACGGGACTCAACCCAAAAAAGTACGAGAATCTGTACGTTACTCAGAAAGTGTTATCCCAAATATAACATTTGTTACATTTGATCACTTTTTTAATGGCATTGTGTGTTTATTTGATATATTAGTCCATACTTCTTATATGAATCATTAATGATCACAACAATGTTTGGTTTCAAGGTAAATCTGGTGACGCTTCTACCGTGTGCATTAGGTTCCCAAACGCGGCCTGCTACAAACCGTACACAATTCGGACGACGATGTGCGGTGGAAGAGAAATATACGAGCTGAGAACGGAAACCAGTTTGGCAGGATTCTGTTTTCGTAAGTGTTTTTACATTACTAACACAGCCCTATACGATTCTGTATAGGTGTTGGTAGCAAACAATAAAGCATATATCAAGGTAAAAATACGATGCTGGGATATAAATGATTATTCAAAACATGGAATTATTCATTGGAGTATTTTGACCATTTTTTTTGTTATCCCTGACAAACTATTTACTGCATTTGACCACTTTCTAAATGGCATTGCGTGTTCACAACTTTAGTTCTTAATTCACAGTTGCTGGAGTATGCGTGTTGATGTACACTTGACAAATGTTAGAGTCTCTAATCCACACTCTCCACACAATTAACAGGGAATGCCATTACATGCAACCGCAATCTTCCTTGACACAAATATAATATGTACTGTGTACTTTCTGTCTGGGATGAGAATCCCGGACGGAACTCAACTAAAAAAAGTGCGAGAATCTGTACTTTATAAAGAGTGAGTGAGTGAGTTGGGTTTAACGCCGCTTTTAACAGTATTCCAGTTATATCGCGGCGTGTCAGCTTAATGTGGGAGGAAAGCCCGAAGTGATGCAGGTCTCAGACGTTTACCACTTCGGTGAAACCCACGAGCACGGGTATGGTGCTGACAAACCTAGAAACATAATCGGGGCGAACCGGAATTCGAACCCATAATCATAGGTTTCTGGTGTGCCCAAGGGACGCAATTCTGCACAGCAAATCGCGCGCCTTAGACGACTGGGCCACCCGTGCCCCCACTTTATAAACAAAGTTTTATCACAAATATAACATTTGTCACATTTGACCACTTTCTGAATGGCATTGTGTGTTCATAGCTTTCGGCCATGGGAGCCGTGAAAATTTAGACTACCAGTCGGACTTTCATTTCTGTGGAAGCCTCGTTAGCTGAGTGATTTAGATCGCTGACTTTGTGTGCTGGCGATGAGGTGCCTCACTCTGGCGTTGTGGGTTCGAATCCCGGACGGGACTCAACTCCGGGAATCTGTACTTTACCAAGAAAGTGTTGTACCAAATATAACATTTGTTAGGTAAATGATATTCATAAATCTCTAAAGACCCGTCGAAACACCCCATTCTTCTGTGCTGTTGCAGACACTGATGATCCATGTCTTTCGAATCCTTGCTTGAATGGAGCCACTTGCATTAAGACGGCCGGATCCAATCACATCTGCTCTTGTGCGTCTGGATATTATGGAAAGACTTGTGAAGGTATGTGCATGAGTAGGAAGGCAGACATAACAATGATGGAACTAACGTTTCAGATAGCATGAACATTTACAACAACACACAACATTTAGTCTGTTATCTTCAATGGCCCAGTAAAAAATCCCCACTTCAAAATTTGAACCTTATGCCAGTAGGCTTTTGATCCTGCAATATTTGGGACATCATGATGATGAAGTATTTTAAGACCTAACATCCGGTTCTTACACAGCTGGCACACCAAATATATATACACATCAATACATTATTAAGGAAAGGGACAAAATACATGTTCAACATAAAACGTGAGAATATTTGTTGAAGTCAGCATACGTTTTATTTCATCACGAGCCAAGTAATCAAAACTGGCTTTCAGTCACATTGCTATTTCATTGCGTACACCATCTGATTTGATTTGATTGATTTGATTGATTGATTGATCTTTTAGAGATAGATCCATGTGGATACTTCATAGAGCTTGACAACATAGCAACACGAGCCCCTAGTTACCCAGGAAACCCCGTAGTACATGACGACAGCACACTAGCACCCGGTTGGTATGGAGCACCTGCTGGATGGGAATTACTCAGTCAGGATCCTGGCAACTCGGCCAAGTGTGGAACAAGAAAGCCTATTTATAGATCGAGTAAGATGTATTCCAGTACATTTCTGTATTGTTTACCTAAAAAATGCTATTATTCCCTGCTTCTAAAAGGAACCATTGTTGACCACAACTATGTTTTGTTTCAAGGTAAATCTGGTGACGCCTCTACCGTGTGCATACGGTTTCCAAACGCGGTATGCTACAACCCGTATACCATCCGGACGACGATGTGTGGAGAAAGAGAGATATACGAGTTGAGTACGCAAACCAGTTTGGCAGGATTCTGCTTTCGTAAGTGCTTTTATATTCCTTGCTTCCTTGCTTATGTTTTGTATATGTGTGAACAGTAAACAATAATGCAGATAAGATCAAGGTGGAAATACGATGATTGGAAATCAATACTATTTCAAGATACGGCATAGACACTATGGGTAAGACAAATTTCAGTGATGAATTCTGTTTTCGTAAGTTTTGTTTTTGTTTATACGTTTACGTTCATCATATGAACTGTATTTTTGTCATTGTATTGATGATAAACAATCAAAAGAGAGAACAGAACGACCATGATGGAGACACAATAATTGGAAGAAAAATTGTCATGATAAGAATGTAGGTTATTGTCTATTATCTGTCAATATCTGTAAGGGAAGCACAAAGAATCGTATTTGATGATGAACTTACTGCCATGTGTGTCTTGATGTGTATTTGTTCGTGACGGGCGAGATCAGCATAACTTTTTGCGAACACATGGACTATCATAACTATTTTATTGTATTCACAAACAGATGCTTATGAGTGAAACCCATGAGCACGGGTATGGTGCTGACAAACCTAGAAACATAAAGATGCTTAGGATATATCCGGAATCGTACAATAAACCCTGCTTTTAGCAGAGATATTTCATGATTACAGAAACGTGTCTTGCCGCTGTTCTTTTCGTGAATGTGAGTGAGTGAGTTGGGTTTAACACCGCTTTTAACAGTATTCCAGTTATATCACGGCGTGTCAGCTTAATGTGGGAGGAAAGCCCGAAGTGATGCAGGTCTCAGACGCTTGACGGGGCAGTCGGGTAGCCTAGTGGTTAAGGCGTTCCTTAGTCACGTGGAAGACCCGGGTTCGATTCCCGACATGGGTACAATGTGTGAAGCCCATTTCTGGTGTCCCCTGGCGTGATATTGCTGGAATATTGCTGAAACCATACTCACTCACTCAGACGTTTACCACTTCGATTAAACCCACGAGCACGGGTATAATGCTGACAAACCAAGAAACATAACCAGGGCGAACCCGGATTCGAACCCACAATCATAGGTTTCTGGCGTGCCCAAGGGACGCAACTCTGAACAGCGAATCGCGGCGCCTTAGACGACTTGGCCACCCGTGCCCCCTCTTTTCATAAAGGTTAGGTACAGACATAAATTTAAAAGAGGTCCTGCGTCGACACATTCGTCGAATAGTTGCTGTAATTGAATGACATTCTTTAAGCTTCAAGCTGTTTCCTTTTGCAGACACGGATGACCCATGCCTTTCGAATCCTTGCGCAAATGGGGCCACTTGCAATAAGGCGACAGGAACTAATTACATCTGTTCCTGTGCCCCCGGATACTATGGGGACAACTGTGACGGTACGTTCAAGGATGGACGAGTAGAGATACTTAGATTTCAGATGGCACATACTGACACGTAAACGTTCATCGTTATATTTTAAATGGTTGGAGAGGAAACACTTCCTGCAAAGAATCCAATAGCACCTCAGGGCATTTTATCAAAAGATGTCATGACTTTACTTAGTGCTTACTTCCTGGCTCCACAGTGTTGTACCACAATAAGCAATGCATTTACAAATATTTATTAAAGAGTGGTGTCAAGCGATTGCCTTGGAGAATGGGGAAGACTTGAACCGTTATAGTTCTCAGTTCGTTTATGTATCTTACAATAATGTATCTATGAACAAACCCATGTGGAAACGTCACAGAAGTTGACACCAGTAGTTCTTGATGGTGATGTTAGCCATGTTTTCAGATAACCATCCTTGTAGAAACTTCACCGAGCTTGATAATATAGCAACACGAGCCCCTAGTTACCCAGGAAACCCCGTCTTACATAATGACAGCTCATTGGCCCCGGGCTGGTATGGAGCACCTGCTGGGTGGGAATTACTCAGTGAGGATCCTGGCAGCTGGAAAATGTGTGGAACAAGAAAACCCATTTATAGAACAAGTGAGAAACGGCATTTCTTTTTTACCGAATATTTAATCTCTAAATTTTAAATTAACCTTTTTCTATATAATATCCTATTTAATTACAGACCTTAGTCAGGAATTAATGTTTTGTTGTTAACTTAGTTTACACAAACTGTATCTTTTAGCAGTTTAATTAACTTAATATTTTTAGCAAATAATCAGCACATTAACTCCACTCACTTAATGATAGAATTATGTATTGTCAAATGTGTTGACAAACCTAGAAATGTAATAAGGCCAGTTATTATGAAGTAGCAGTTAAAGAACGACACAATTTGTCTTAATTTTTAGGTAAAGATGGTGACACATCTACCGTGTGTATTCGGTTCCCAAACGTGACCTGTAGTAACCCGTATACCATCCGGACGACGATGTGTGGTGGAAGAGAGATATACGAGCTGAGCACGCAAACCAATTTAGCAGGATTCTGCTTTTGTAAGTAGTTTTCGCCCTTAAATATTAATGAAAGTCTCTCTGTTTACAGAAGGAAATAACCAATGCCATGAAGGATACATTTTCAAAAGCCAGTGTTCGACTTACATAGTATGAGTGTACACGTTCGTGGAGGTTTGCTGAATGTTTCGTTTCAGTTGTAAAGCCCTTTAATTGAGTACGCTAAATAACTAGATGAATAAAATCGATGATAGAGTCACAAGGGAAAAGTCCAGTAAGGAGTATTGATGAATATGGAAAGATGTCGAACTATTACACATCTTATGTTCCAGCTTGCAATGGACGAAAACTGGACATCCTCATCATGGTAGATGAGTCAATCTCTATCGGCACGACCAGATTTTGGCAAATGAAAACATTTCAACGAGAGATGCTTCGTTCTTCTAACATAAGCCTCAACACTAACAATGTTGCATTTATGGAGTTTTCTGTAAGCGCTAGAGTGGTATTCCCACTGAATGCTTATGCTGACGACAAAGCGGCGGTCCTTGCCGCAATGGAGAAGGAGGTATACGGAATAGGCGCTTCGACAAACATTGGTGACGCCATCAAACTGGCCGTCACTGACGTTTTCACAGCGGATAATGGCGACCGACCAGACGCTGACAATATGATCTTCATGTTTACTGACGGCTACGCTACTGATGAAGATAAGGTGGTTATAGCTGCTATAATTGATCAACTTTCTGCAAAAGCGGAAGTATTTGTCGTGGCCATATCAGAAGTTCTGGATGATTCTATCATCCACACAATTGCTTCGAAACCAGGAAGTGAACACATTTTGCAGCTGGATGCCCCAGATACTCTCAGTAAAGTTCAGCAGGAGATCATGCCATGTGGTACAGTGTGACTCCACTGACCTAATGTGTTACAGATTACCGAGATGAAGCCGCTTGGAAAATTCTAATCTGTGCATACAATACACGTTCTGCAACTAAAATGTGTTTGTTTTCTTCATAAGATAATTCAGTTGTTTCACTGACATTTTCATTGTGAAAAGAACAATCGTAAATATTTCTTATGGTGTTTTAAGTATTTAGAGCAACGGTTGTGGGATTCCAACGTACACTCTACACTCAAAATCGAACCCTACACATTCTGATTTCTTGTTTCCACTTGCCGTATCTCAAGTCCATCTCATTTATTTGTTAATGCCAATTCTGCACACAACATAGCCCATATAAGGATTCATAATTATAGGATATTAAACGGGCCTTCTCATTTCATATCCCGAGTTGAATAATGTTTACCTTTCCCGAGCTTCAGAAAAATATAATTCAAGAGAGACAAACACTTGATCTGAAATGGGGACGGGGTGTGTATGATTACCAGCGAGGATTTGGAATAAATATTATCTGCAACGTTATGCCATGATTATGGGTCCTTAATATGAAAGTATGTACACAATATCAACAATGACCTTCGTCAAATCATGCATGCATTCCATAACGTCCCTTCGAAATAAATACTAAACTCCATGACAAGAAACGTCACCTAATGTCAAAATACCTTTTAATATAGCTTATTCATTCCTATCACTGACGTGCGCAAAATGAACATGCTGGGTGTAAAAATGCTCTTATTGCTCGAAAAAAGGCATAACCCTTAGAAAAATACCCGGATGCAAATCTGATATAAAACGGGTGTGAAAATGACGGGTTTTGGCATTTGCGCATTCAGTTGCCACAAACGGACCATGCCTCGATTTACATTGGAACAGCGAGAAAGGCCAATGGGAATGTTGGATAGGGAGGCAACTCAGGCTCCTGCTGCTGGGGTAATGGGCTGTTCGAGAAGGTGGAATTAGTGGAGACATGAATACGGATCTGATACGAATCTTACCGCTGCACGCTACATCAATGAAGTGTTAACACCATGTGGTACTGACTTTTCTTCCACGTCACCCGCAAACGTTATTCCAGCAAGATTACGCCACGCCTAATACAGCCCGCATTACCGTGAACCTTCTTCCTTGGCCAGATAGAACATTTGTGGGACCACCTGGGACTTGTCACTCGGCCATCGACTCAGCATTAACCATCGGGAATCTAGATAAACTACTGGGATAATTGCTATCATTATCAAAATAATTGTCTAATCAACTGAAAATCAGCGTCTAACTGTGACGAAGCTAAAGCATTTTTACAAGATTGGACTTGACAACTTTGTAGATATAAATTGCAAAACAATTTAGCGATGCCAGCAACCTATTGGGATCAGTTTCCATATCTGTACCAATGAGCGGCAGACAACCTTTTCTTACAAATAAAAACAATTGGAATTGCTATCTTTTTGTTTCTTTGTGTCGCTGTGTGTACATCTGACTGCACTTCTTAGAGTTATGACAGTACAGGCAGACTCTAAACAAACGTGACGTCTCATAGACACGATAGATAAAAAAAATAATATCCTGTATTAAGAATTAACACTTTATAATTTGCTCGCCAAGGCTCACAAAATACAAAGTGTATTCCTGTTACAGGATATTTATCATCCCCCTAAAAACTGATAACCTCTATATCTTTGAAGGCAATATAATTCGCAAGATAATTATGTTGTCGAGGTTCAGTAATAAACAGCCATCATATAGCTGAAATATTGCTAAAATGTGCGAGGTTAAACAACAAATTAATAAAAGACATATGATACAAAGAAACTGGAAGCTGTTGAATGTAAGTCCTTTTTATTGTCACGGAGCAGTTAAAAAATGTCTCATTTCTATTCCCCTTGAATATGTCATTTTGTGATCAAAATGAAAAGAAAATTAATACAGGATATTATCTTCGCAAATAACTACTATATATTGAACATTTGTTCAGACTTTTGTTTTTAATTAACTCCGCACTCAACAATATTCCAGGTGTATGGCGACTGACTGTACATATTCGAGTCGAGACCTACAAGTCCACTGGTGGATGTTGTCAACAATCCACGACTTTGGTTAAAACTATAGCTGAGGCAAACCAGGCCTTCGTACCAATGGTCATTGGATTCTGGCACGCCTAAGGGACGCAACTCTGTAAAGTGAATTGCGATGGCTTGGGGTTCAATCCCATTCTTCATTCTCCGACTGAGATTTTCTGTCACTGCCAGAAAGGAGAAGATTAAAACAGTACTGGTCCCAATACACATCTTTTCAAAACATCATGCCAACTTTTCCTTGTGTTTTGTAGAATCTAAAGCAAACTTAATTATTTCAACATTTATTTTCAATGAATCAAATTTTTCAACCTCACCTTCTTCCAATCATTGACCGCCAGAGGGAGCTGTTTCAACAGGACAACGCTCCACCGCACACAGTTCGTGTCACGGTAGACTACCTACAATGTACATAATTAATATCAACGTTTTGCCCTGGCCGCCGAGATCTGCAGATCTCAACTCAATCGAACACTTCTGGGATGATCTCGGTCGACCAGCACGTCAACGTCAAAACACGCCGCAGACACTCCCAACTGGCCAACGCGTTACAAGCAGAATTCCGCAGAACTGAATTTATAAATTATCCACTTATGCCAAGGAGATGCAGGGCCGTGATTGCTGCCCGGGGTGGTCACACAAGATACTGAGTTCAGCGCAACCTTGTGGCCTTATGTGACAATGAACAGTTTTCAATGCCTGTGCACAACGACAACATGTGACTATCGAGCCCCAAAATGTCATATTTATATCTATCATATTAAATGAAATATATCGACTTTATTATATACAATAAATTTACTAAAAATCTACCTGTGCGTTTCTATTTTTTAAGTGTGTTTATAGGTGTGTCGGTTTTGGTATAAAAATCTTACAACGTGGAGCAGAATAATAGTAATAGCAGTAGTAGCAGTAGAGTAATATTAGTAGTAGCAGTAGTGGTAGTAGTACATGTATCAGCATTAGGTGTAGTAGTAGCAGCAACAAGATTAGTAGTTTCAGCGGTAGCAGCAGCAGTTGTAGAAGTTTGTTTTGTTTGCTGTTTATTAGTAGTGAGTGAGTGAGTTGGGTTTAACGCCGCATTTAACAGTATTCCAGTTATATCGCGGCGTGTCAGCTTAATGTGGGAGGAAAGCCCGAAGTGATGTAGGTCTCAGACGTTTACCACTTCGGTGAAACCCACGAGCACGGGTATGGTGCTGACAAACCTAGAAACATAATCGGGGCGAACCGGGATTCGAACCCACAATCATAGGTTTCTGGCGTGCCCAAGGGACGCAACTCTGCACAGCGAATCGCGGCGCCTTAGACGACTGGGCCACCCGTTAAAAATTCTACAAAAAAATGACATTAAAAATATATATCAAATGATCAAGTTTCATAGAATTCTATTGAGGAGGGTTGTTTATCTCTGTAAAAATGGTTCATCTGAGACCCGAAACACATTCCATTAAGGTTGACAAACATGGCAGGTATGAAAATCACAAACAAGCATAGCTGACGGACAACACTGGCTCAATTCTCCAGCAACATCTTATGGATTATGGACGTTGAAACATGGCACCATCTACAAGGTGAGGTGAAATTGGGTTTAACGTCGCGTCCAAGATTATTGCACTTGTACAGCGACGTGCATGTACGTGTGTGTGTGTTTGGCTGCTTGTACTAGTCCGGACTGATGCCAACTTATAGTGCTACCTCACTGAGATACAATGCCGCAGTTTAACATGAATACCCCACTCAGACACAGTATACTGACTCCGAGCCGACCAGTCCTTGTTTTAGCCCCTTAATGCCGAGCGCCAGACAGGGTAACAACAAGTACAATCTTTTAACGTCTTTTTGTATGACGCGGCCCGGGATCGAACCCTGGACCTTCCGCTCTCCGGGCGGACGCTCTACCGCACCATCTACAAAGGTGAGGCGAGGTGAAATGGGGTTTAACGTCGCGTCCAAGATTATTGCACCTGTACAGCGACGTGCATGTACGTGTTTGGCTGCTTGTACTAGTCCGGACTGATGCCGACTTATAGTGCTACCTCACTGAGATACCATGCCGCAGTTTAACATGAATACCCCACTCAGACACAGTATACTGACTCCGAGCCGACCAGTCCTTGTTTTAGCCCCTTAATGCCGGTACAACAAGTACCATCGTTTAACGTCTTTTGGTATGACGCGGTCGGGGATCGAACCCCGGACTTTCCGCTCTCCGGGCGGACGCTCTACGACTAGACCATGGAGGCGGTCCCCATCTACAAAGGATTCAAGAAGTATTACTTTCAAATACTATTACTGGTAACAAATTGTGTGTGCAATGGTTTCAGACAGGATGTTTATTTCCACAGAGCAATACTTGTAACTCGAGTTCTGCACGTCCGACAGCGGGGACGGTGTTGCATAAGTATCCGATGGGGCAGAAGCTTGGCGCCATCTCACTGAGAACCCCACTGTTCAAGGTGCTCGTGATTTGACCAAAAGCTTTAACTTCACGAGACTAAATAAATGTACAAACTCTCTGCGGCTTGTGACTGAACACCCTAATAGTCCCCGGGCACATGCTTGTTGGCGAGGCTGGGGTTGAGGGAGCAACCATTTGATTTTCAGGGGTGGGACTTCTTGTCTATTAAAACAAAGTTACGTGAACTATAATGACAGTTGGGTAGATCATTTTGCTAACACTCCAATAGCTTGAGTATGGGTCCTGCCCCACACTGAAGCACATGTACCACACGTGGTGTCTCCTTAGGCAAGTGACTTTCTTCGAAATGGGCCTCTGTTCACCCAGCACTGAGTGGGTACCTGGTAGGATGAGATGGTAATGGCTGTTAACCTTCTAGCGCCTCACAGGCAGCTTGGGTTGTATACTCCCCAGGGAGCTGAGAATGCTCAGTGATCCATTGACCGGGGTAATAATAAGAGCATCCACTTGATGAATGGAATCTGGCGCATTATAAATGCACTTGTTACTTTTCCTTGAAAGGTTCCCCTCCCCTAAATTTAGTACAGCATGTTTTTTGCAAATTTATGCGATACATTCTCTGGAGAAGATACAGGAAATGTCTCCTACAATCTTCACTAACTTCAGCAAAATATAACAAGATTATCACTGTTGTCCCAACGTTTATTCTCAGAATGTTAGAGACAAAACAACGCCATCCCTTAGATCCAAATTAAAATCGCGTCCATTCCTCGAAGCTCTGCCATCAGTCTCTTTGGTACTGGTCAAAGTTGATGCAGTTGATGCCGTTGACGTAGATCTGATTACTGTCGACACAGTTGGGGGGGATGTAGGTTTACTGGATTCCCTCCGAATGGTGTTGTCAATACGCGTTTCCGTCGCCGCAGATGTCCTCTACAATTAAATAATAAATAAATCTTTTCGGTTATGGAAATGGTCTGGTTTGTTTAATCCGTGTAATGAACGATACTCATTCATATTTGGCCCCATCCAAAACATTTTCCTTGTATTAACGACCATCCCTTCTAAAACTTAATACTAGATTTTTCATTTTCAAGTTTTAGATATCACACATACGAAAGTTTGTTCTTTTTCAAAGTGACCCACACACAACTGAGCTTTCTGTTCGATAAAATTGAGGGCATATTAATAATATCTGTAGTATTTTACGGACAAGCATGTATTACAAACAAGTGCAAATGTATCAAACCATACCATGTAGCTCCGTATTGCCAGAGACTTGCAATGTGCCCTGTCCCCTCAGCGATAAGCTGTTCGTCTAGGCCAGATTCATACAGACACGTTGCAGTGGTGGCCCTCAGCGAGTGGTTGGAATAGCCACCACTAAAGCCTGTCACTTTACAGAGTCGTCCGACAGTCCCTCCTAAAGGATGTAATCCAATCGGAATGTCAGCATACCATGTATTTTCTCATAAATTTCAAGGTCAAGTAAAATGCGGTGCATTTTGACGTTTTTCGTCTTAAGGTCTGAAAATGACAAAAAACAAAACAAATTAATATGAACACGTGTTTTCAACAGCTAAACACGATCGAGTTAAAGTGAGTAATGACATTGCCCCGCGCACAGGGGTGGGAACTTCATTTTGTTAACGTCATTAAACTCAATGACGTCCCAATAGTATCATAGGGTCCTATTATAGTTAAATATCGATGCTATGGATTGCTTCAACTTAGTTAAATCACGTGTACACCATTGGGATCAAATATAATTGGTTGGTCATGCTACTTTCAGCAATATTTCAGTTATATCACGGCGGGTTATTAATAAATGTAAACGGGGGAAAAATATAGATCAGTTCCGGACCAAACAGCCAGTGACTGACGGCATGAGCAACGATCTACGAAGGCTCGCCAACAATCAGAACACATTACATGACCACCTCCCAAATCCTATTATGTCGCCTTTTGGACAGCCAGGGTATACCGAGGACCTATTCTACCCCGGAAATTGCGTCACTAAATTGAAGTCCTAATAACAGGTGACGTGTTATGAACACTTGAGTTGAAAATTCCAAGACAGTTAAATCAGTTTGCTAATAGACTCTTGAAAGTTACTTCATTGATATCATTACTACTAAATTTTACTGTCAAATTCATTGATAACTTACCTGAGTGACATGTACTTTTCATAAAGGCGAAAAAGGCACCTCTCTGGACTTCCAAGTTCTGGCCCACTTTGACGCATTTTCGTTCACGCTGTCGATGTTTTAAGCCATCTCTGTTTTGAACACATCTTCCATGTATTTTAGACATTTCAACCCATCAGCACCAACTGTTATTTCGAACTGTGAATTCGGACCCGTTCTAAGATGTCTGTGCTCATCACCAGCCCTCGGAGCACAAATTGAGGCCAATTAAATACACCACACTGATCACTTCAACCTGCCTTTTCCCCATCCCGATTCCCTGTCTTGCCAAATATTTCATTCTCGCATCTAGCACGGACCTTAATCCTTGAAACATCGGAGATTCGAAAAAAATTCAGTTGGGTGCCGTTCTTTCTGATATAATAGTGTAGGGATGTGTCAATTTCATAAAGAGTGTTTCCGCGATATTCCTCGCCCTTCTGATTTCTGACCTCAGTCATAAAATACATCAATGTTTCATATGACTCCCTTTCCTCCTGAGCCAGTGACACAATGTCAGGGTTCAATACCATGTCCTCTGTTCTGCCCCTCTTACGCCGTTCCTTCACCAACCCTTGACACAAGCGAGCTGCCCACATACTCTTGTTTTCAGTATTCGAAAAGTATGCTGAATCACACTTCTTAATGTCATTATCAGATGTTGGCTTGCCAAACCTTGCTGAACTTGAATCTACCCTATATTTAGAAGCGTCACGTCATTGAGGTATTTCTGATGAAGTTAATAGCGAGCGAGTGTTACAAGGTAGCAAATTAAGAAGGTAAGATTCAATTGCTTGGCTTGCTTTGTACAGATCAGTGTTAGAACCTGAGGAAACTCTTCGAGATCAATCAACTCACATTTACCAACATCAAAGTTTGGAAGTTCATTTGAATCCAAATTAAGTAAAGTTTCAAAATCGGAATTAACTTCCGCCTCGAAAGTGTTCGTGAAACTATATTGTGTGACAAATACATCGTTGTCGGAATCACGCTGACAGCCCTGCCGAGTCGAACGTCGTTCATCGAAAATCGAAAAATATGATGTTGCATGCGCAGATAGATATACACACCACATAGTTTTGCACGTTTATTGGCGTGTTTTAGCGACTTGGTTTGTCATGACCATGTACAACTAGAACACCTCCGTCAGTTTGGCACGTATATATCACTTGAAAATTAGTTTGAGGCATTAACGTGATCGAAGTAGGAGAAAGTCCTCAATCTCGGGATTATTTTCGGACATGCTCCTTCACATAATCAAGCCCCTATTTAAATGATATTTTAGGTGCCCCTTTTCTTGTATTGACGTATCAGTGTTTAGTTTTGTACTGAAACAGTACTTTAACTGCAAAACAAAGTAAAATGATGGTATCAAATCCACCCCCACACCCCCTTTGAAAATTATATGGCTGTTTCCTAATGGCTCACTATAAAACACGGATACTTCCACAGAACTATCACGATTGTCGTTTACCGCTTCGTTCCTATGCAATTCAAAATTATTATCATTATGATTTTCTATTAGCAGCCTTGTCCTCTTTTTCTGATCGGTAGGATTGATGCAACAGGCTTCCCAGGGACCCCAGCTTGTGCAGCCGCCCAAGGGACCCCAGCTTGTGCAGCCGCCCCAGGGACCCCAAGCTTGTGCAGCCGCCCCAGGGACCACAGGCTGCCACAGTTGCTAACCAGACGCAGTCGTCGTCGATGATGTCCACACCGTTTGCCAACCCGGAGATCCCTCGGCGAAGAGAGGAGAGGAGATCCGGCGGCGAAGAGAGGAGATCCGGCGGCAAAGAGATGAGATCCGGCGGCTAAGAGGAGATAAGATCCGGCGGCTAAGAGGAGATAAGATCCGGCGGCTAAGAGGAGATAAGATCCGGCGGCTAAGAGGAGTTCCATGAGACTGAAGGCAAATGTAAGTCAGATATCAGAGCTTACGTTCAACACCAATGTGAACAGTGTAAAAATGTTTTCGCAAAACCTTTTACAGCAATGGGATCAGGTTCCCTTTAAATTATCATTAATACGTATTTTATACATAACTTAGATGCTGCAACCACTGGATTGTCTGGTCCAGACCTGGTTGCTCCTCATCCCACGGTGGAGCGCACCGTTGATCGTTGTAAAGGTAAAACGTTCATACTTGTATGCGGTGAAAATGAACTTGAGGTCGTGAGCGATTACAATTACGTGAGAATTGAGCTTCAAAGGAACCTGCATCTTCTACATCTACTACTTGTTTTCCTTACTATAAAAAAAAAATTTAAAAAAAACTTTCACTCGACTGTATGTTTAGCCTTCGATGTATTGGTAACAACTATTCTCAAACATGGCTGCGAACTATGGGGATATGAAAATTTTGAAACATTTAAAATCATTTTTTGGAAAATGGCAATAAGGATTCAGGAACAGTAACGCAAACTTCGTGATTTATGGCGAATTTGGAAGAATGGCGCTTCCTTTAAAAGTATATAAGAGAATGAAAAAAACCTCTTGCATAAAAATGCAATTTGCAATCAGAAGCTCACACACTCAGTTTATAATTATGTGCATTATGATACAAGTACAAGGACATAAGTGTGAATACACAATGCAACGGGAGCCGTGTCCATTTACCCATGTCAGAGGGGTACACAAACTACGTGATCTAGACTACCAGTTGTCGGGCTTTCATTTTTGTGGGGGCCTCAATGGCTCAGTAGGTTAGCTCGCTGCCTGTGTGTTGGCGATTTGGTGCCCCACTCAGGGCAGTGTGGGTTCGAATCCCGGACGGGACTCAGCCCAAAAAATGTATGAGAATCAGAACTTTACAGACATAAGTGGTTAAAATGTACAACTAATATACTAAACTAATGGTCATGTAACGTGATTGATAATCCTTATACAGTTACGACTAAGAGGCTCAAAACCGTATCGAAGACACTTTAAAGGGACAAGTTTCTTCAAGAATGCCTTTAGAAAAAGATGATATTGCATCGCCAATCTATATAAGTATATCAAACCCTAGTTCTCCTTTGAAAAATACCTCTTACCCAGCCACAACATATATCCCTCTAATAAAATTTATAACTTGTAATCATAGATTCCCGGTAGAAACCGATAAATGGGAACAAAAACTCACTAAAGATGCAATCACAAGGGATTCACATTATCAAAGCCTGAATCTGAAGGAACTCATCCCGTGTACAAGTCGGGGAAAACCCCCAACTTGTGACAATGAACTCAACTGGTGACAATGGACCCAACTGGTGACAATGGACCCAACTGGTGACAATGGACCCTAACTGGTGTCAATACCCCTAACTGGTATCAATATATCATAGTACATTATGATAACTAGAAAAATTGAATTCAGAAAATTATTTACTGAATATTGCCACCTTTTAATACGTCTGTGTAAACCTTAAAACGAACCGGAATGCTTTTAAATTTCTTCTGGAGGATTTCCACCAATTGTGCAATTGTCATTTTGGTGGGCTTTTCTGACTCTTTGCGCTCTTCTGGGGTAATGAGTTTCTCAAGTCTGGGTCTTCCACCCTTTTCTAGCAGGTTCTCCTTAATCATTATTTCTCAGAAAAATATTTGGGAAATAAATGTTACTATTTTCCTGATAAACGCAAAAAAGTAATGTGCGTGTGCGTGCGTGCGTGCGTGCGTGCGTGCGTGCGTGCGTGCCAGAGTGAGAGATACTGAGAGAGTGAGATTATATATATATATATATTAAAAAAGTGGGGTATATATAAATACCTATATTTTCTCCTGTTTGTTGCAATGTCGAGCCACTGCTGTACATCTGGATCTAACAGGTGCTCTTCGTCCAGGCCTGTTAGGTGGGGTGTGCAAGGGCTTGCCTGTAAATGGTTGCTTTGTCGAAGCCACGATCTCCACCCTTCTGTCTCCGGCGACAGGGAATTGTCAGTGACAGTTTGAAATGGTACTGATAACTCAGCACCAACTGCCATCAGTATGTTGTTTTTCATCTGTTATACAAAATTATTGATTTTAGAGTGTTTTTAGTGAGTGAGTTGGGTTTAACGCCGCTTTTAACAGTATTCCAGTTATATCGCGGCGTGTCAGCTGTGTGAGGAAAGCACGAAGTGATGCAGGTCTCAGACGTTTACCACTTCGGTGAGCCCACGAGCACGAGTATGGTGCTGACAAACCTAGAAACATAATCGGGGCGAACCGGGATTCGAACCCACAATCATAGGTTTCTGGAGTGCCCAAGGGACGCAACTCTGCACAGCGAATCGCGGCGCCTTAGACGACTGGGCCACCTAAGCCCCCTTTAGAGTCGTTTTAGGTGGTTGAGTTACATAAAACAAATGGGGCTGAAGCCTACTTGGAGATCAAAGGATCTGATGCAAGTGATCCCAGTCAGGTGACCACACCTGGGTATCAATGGGTACAAAGGGTATTTCATATGTTGTCATATACTATAAATTGTATCAACTTTTGATAAATTGAAAACATTATGTAGGTTTAATGAACAAAAAATATGCATTTAGTAATGTTTAGTTTCATTTTTTTCCAGCTTAAACGTTTTCCCCAATAACAATGAAACTATTAATTTAACCAAACCCACCCATCTATCACAAACCCTGGTTTCACCAATTTCCACACCCTCTCATGTTGCTACACAAACTTCTCCTGAACCACTTCCAAATTCCCAAACTTTTTGTTCTACTTCAAACCCCCAACTATCTACTTCTGTCACTAACTCCCAACCAAGAACACCAACGGTTGAAACCACAACGGACACGACCTCACAAAAAAAGATCAAGCAAGAGAAGTAAACAAAAAACAAACCAGTCGAAATCAAACTATTTGTCCCATTTGTGACAGTGTTTGGGTGCCCTGAGGACAATAACGCAAAGTGGATTGGTTGTGACTTTAAGAAATCCCTGTGCAATTATTGGGTGCATTGTGAATACATCGGCATTTATGCAAAGAAAGTGGCAGATTTAAAAAACATCACCTATCTGTGCCCAGAGCACAACAAAATTGAAAGGTGTAAATAAAAATAAATTATCATGATTTTCGTTATTTTTGTCCTAGAAAAAAATCTTTCTTTATAAGTATTACTATGAAGAAAAAGAAATTTCTTATTTTGCATAATACATGTTCTTGTACATATATAAAATATTAAAAAATTCCTCCAGGATCGGATACGAACTCGCATACGCTTCACCCGTAGTCAGCGACGCTACCAAAGGTGCTAAAGCTGCACATGTTCATTTTAGTACAATTAAAAGTACATAATTAAATAATACATTGCTAAGAATTAAAAAAAACAACTTTTACGCTGCTATGTACATAACGGCATGTTATAATTTACTTTATTCTTACCTTTTTATGGTTAAATAATTCATGTGTCTTTGTTATATTCTATTTATACCACTTCAAATTACCCATAATCCTTCGCCATTAGTATTTGAGACGTACCTGACCATTTCTTACCTGTTCCAATTTGGGAAGATTTCTGCAGCTCCTCAGCCAGGCATTATCTGTGGGTACACCTGGAGGCATCAACATTTTCACTTTTCTGTTTATATTCTCCAATACAAAGTAACCACCTTCAACTTTACTGTGATGACCAGAGGGAGAAATTACCTCACAAGTATTAAGATAAGTTACAATTTCTGGTGGGGCTTGTAGTCTCATCATTTCATCTCGTAGAATGAGTTCTTGATAGGTGTTATTCATTGCATAAAAAAGCCTTGAAAATGAATCCCGGCCGTGTCATTGCTTGGCTGTTGTTTCTCCTAACAGCAGAACGATATATGAATAATGGAATGATGAGTTCCAACAAAGTGCCGGACAGGAATTTAACATTGGGATTTATGTTGCTTGAGCCAAGCATGAAATGCAGAGATAGTGCACAAATGATGATCAGGTGCCTTTGACAGTAAGAAACTATACAAAAGTTCGTCTGTGGAACCATATAGAAAAATAAGGAGCATTTCCCAAGACTTGTGGTGGTTGGTGGCTGACTAGGCCATATTGACCGCAGCTGGTGAAGAGAAGCCAAGCAACTTTGCAACATGTTGTAGATATGGCCACCATAGAAATTTGAAAATTGACCTCACACCATTTATCTCAATGTGTCCTGCTCCAGGTACAACCAATATGTGCTTGTAAAGTGGGTGACTGCCATCTACAACAAAATCATCATTGGGGTGCTTAATCAAACCCTGCAAGCCCTTTTTGACAATAGCCTGACAAACTGGACATTTGTGCCATTTAGTAAGCACTCTGCTTAATAAATTGTAGGGAGAACCCTCGCATCCGAGAACTTGCCACTTTCTACTTATACCGAAATCACTGTCTGAACATATCTTATCCAGAACAGTTTGAAGGCTATCATATGATGCAGGAATGACCGTGGCTGGATCACCCAGACAAATTTCAGGTTGAATAATTGGATGGCCAGAGGTAAAAAAACAAAAGGATCATCCCTTTTCTTAAAGGAACCACTGGAAAATGAATGTACATTCATCAATATTGTCACCGAATAAACCATTTCTACATGTCAAGCTGTTAAGAACTATGTACAACCTGCTTTCCAAGAATGTATCCACTAATGAAGACAATTCATGATGAAACGTGTTACTAGCTACATCCAAAGCCTGTGCCATATCATCGCCCAAATTCAAACTTGTAACCAAGCGATTGGTGATAATTGGGGACAACATTGGATGTCACTGCTGGTGATAGATAGGAACCACAGGGTGTGGTGGAAATAAGTACATTAACAGTTTTTGCTACCAGATATGAATAAAGTGAGTAGGGAAATTGCAAATGATATCGGCTAGATGATTGTGGGAAGGACAGCAAAATATAGAAATTCCACACATCTTGATATTACATGACAGTTTTCTTTGAAGATTCAAAACTGTCGGTATGCTCAACTGTGTGACAAACTAATGCACCTTAGAATGTCAACAAGAGAACATTTCGACTTTTCAACCAGTCGTGAATGTTTAAATTGTCATCAAAAATTGAAGATTTATATTGATCTCCAACCTTTTTTATGTCAGCTTCTAATTGGGAATGGATGTAGCTGCCAAGGCCACATGACAAAGAAGTGAATTCATACTCCCACAGGTTATCATTGGACAAATCATCCAACACTTTGTACGTTTTCCTTCAGTTTCTCTGCTTCAGGAATGGAGATTAATTTTTCATATGTATACTTCGCACAGGCAGTGCACAGGTAGGTTGATCTTTGTTGAAGGTACTTTAGTTCTTTTGGTTTTTCTTCTACTTTTGGGGGGAATTTTCTTGATTTAATTAGATACACTTGGAACTCTCGATGTTTAGAAAAGATTTCGTGTTCGCTGCAACTGCATTTTCTGCCCATGTTGTACTTTTAAGATATATACCTGTAACATTACAATAAATAGTATTAAATTTTATTTTTTTACACTTGTTTTCTTTTATGGCTTAATGTTGGCAACCAGGACATTTAAAAACAATACTCCAAACTGTAAATCCAAGGTAAGCGACGTAAAAGCATATGTCCAAATTACGAACGCTTCATTCATTTCTGCGACCAACCACGGTTTCCACGTGGCATGTATTGTCTACCATAGTTTTAGTGGGCGTTGGCTCAAGATTTGGGCGTTACCTCCCTTGCCGGGACTGCAGGTGGCGTGGCAGAGTAGGAAGCATGGTGGACGGAGAGAGGGTTGACAAAGTACATTTCAGGTAATTTTTGACTTTCAATGTTGTCTTTTTGACTGATTTTGGCACAGGATGTGTCCAAATGGCGGAGGGGTACTCAGAAGAATCGATGAATGAAAGAAGTTTTCGTAATGAACATTGACATGTATTTTATACCCACCAACATGCGCGAAGTAGTACAGACAACGCACGGATAAAAATCGCATGTTTTTATAGCCCAACAGGACCAGTTTATTCTATCAGTTAGGGGTATTGACACCGGTTGGGGGTTTTCCCCGACCTGATCGAAGACACTTTAAAGGACAAGTTTCTTCAAGAATGGCGATGCAATATCATCTTTTTCTAAAGGCGATCTATATAAGTATATCAAACCCTAGTTCTCCTTTGAAAAATACCTCTTAACTAGCCACAACACATATCCCTCTAATAAATTTATAACTTGTAATCATAGATTCCCGGTAGAAACCGATACATGGGAACAAAAACTCACCTTAAGATAGGAATTCCGGGATTTTCAATATATTTTTCAAATAGACTGCAATTTGTGTGCTCATTTGTCCATATGAACGTAATAAAGCGAAAACATGTAAAAAATATATAATGTTACCAATTATTATTGCCATACAGGTCCTTTCTGGGTGTACGTCTGCACGGAGGCTTCCCCTGTCACTGAGGCGATCTGAAAGTCATACCGGAAGCTGATATTAAAAGGGAAATAACTCTAACATGCGCGTAAATGAGGGAGCATACGTTGTGGCAAAAATATATCGCACAGACTGGCTAAACAGAAATACAAACTGTAGATACATTTCCTCTGATAATGTGAACATTTGTAAATAGGATGCTCACACACATAAACATACGAAATCTTAGAAAAAATGTATATATAATTGAAAATATGAGATGTTATTAAATATATCAATTATGCAGACAAGTATTAAGTGATAATAAAGTTCTATACACACATTTAGAGTAAAGTTCTAAATATCAGGCACAATAGAGAGAGAGATACATGTAACATATATAGATGTATAATCACATAAATATTTATGTATGTAATAGTTACATAATATTTATATATATGCACGCACTCACAGAAAACCATATATGCTAAAGTACTCACGGAAATGAAAAAAAACAACTTTTTTCGGTCTCAGATTTTAAATAAATGCAGTTATACAAAATATATAAATATTCAAACAACTCAATTAGTACTAATTGGGCCTTGGCACAAATACAGCGTATCAAAGGTTTTTATGTCTTTTTACACGTAAAAGTGTAAAAATATGAACAAAACAGACTATTGTGAAACTGAGCATAACCAGGTGTAAGTAGATCAAGGTGAATGTCCATGACCTATGACACCTTGACGACAGGTGAAAACCGGTGCTTGAAACCCACGTGCATGTGATTTGTCAGTGGTTAGAGATTTGTGAGTGGCATTGTGGGATAGTGAATCATCGTCAAAATATCAGAACGTAAAAGTAACATATTCCCTTCTCAAACAACAACTTACATGTCATTATTATTATGTACATAAACATAGCTGTTATTTTTATTGTTTTGATAACTTTTTTTCCAGGCTAATTTGCATAATGCCTATAGCCTGTTTCTGCCATGTCAATTTGGACTTAGTTTTATTTTTGAATGTTGAAAGTGCCTACAAATTACTTCCTGTAAAGTACATTTTGTATTGAGCACTGAGATAAAACTAGAAAATCCAGACTAGTACTTTTCCAGTTTTGTTATTTCGTATTTACATCTACGTAATGCTTTGTGTCGATTGTTAAATCCAGCAAAACAGTTTTTTTTTATTTCCATGAGTTCTTTAGTATGTAGTCGCACGCATAAGGTAATCAGTAATAATGAAGTGAATATGAAAATAATGAAATAGGTATGTGACGAAAAAATGTGTATTGTGACGAAAGAGCCTGCCCTATGTGCCAGAGGGGTGGTGATAATAATACAATATCATGAAACTTACGCTGGGCAAAATGTGCAGATCGCCTTTCTCCAGATCGTCAAATAAAGTGAATGTGTACACTTTTTCTGGTTCGTTGTCAGACGATATTGTGCCATTTTAAATACCCCGGTACTTGGGAAATGACCATCCCCGGAAACCATTGTAAATTACCCTCGACATCCCATACATGATTCACCCTCTCTCCAACAAGAATACTCCTTGTGGAACCCTCACCAGTGTTCTTAGAAGCTGCCAGAGATATTAAACAGTTTAGATTGTTAGTGAGAGTTGAAAGGTCAAATGTTTTTTTATTGTTAGAAAACTAACAGAAGAGGATTTTCGGGGTTTTGTTTTAGAACTTTATTTCGGAAACGAATTTGACACTTCAGTGCCTCCATAGGCTCCTTTGACCGATATTGATTCAAACGGTCGTCCACTTTATTGTGGGACTGCCACAGTCCATGTATCAATTGATTCTTGGTGGGCATCATATTTACTTTGCCGTCTTTTAAGTTCACGAGCAACTGCCTCTTGTTTCCGTTTGAGGGCATCCTGCTTTTGTTGCTGAATAATTAATTTGCGATGTTTGAATTGGGCGAGGGATGTTTTTTAAGTTTTGAGGCATGTTTGAAGACATTGTGTTGGGAATCATGTGATAGAGTGGCTATCCACTCATTAACCCTGTTGACATTGAAAGTGATGTGATTCCTGAGTGTAAACGGATGAAGATGGTTTGTTGTGCTTTATGTGATCAAACTGACCAAATACAGATTCCGTGAGTTTCTTGTGTTTTAAAGATGACATGCAATGTGGATGTGATTGTGAAGTTTTGTTCCAATGAATGCCTCCAGGGAGCTGATCTGCCAGAAGGCGCCGTAGAAGTGATGTGATGTCTGGTATTATATTCTCCAGGATGAGATGGGTGGTGACGTCATTATGACATGAGGTTGTGAGGGCTTCAAGCACAGAATCCGGTTTATCTGTGGGTTTCTTCTCGTATGGAAGAACCTCGGCATCCCCTTTCATACAACTTGGGATGTCCAGTGACTTGAGCCGGTTGATAAGTGTCATATAAAATATTCATATCTAGGATTGTCCTGTCCTTGGCCTCAAGAATACGCCAAAGTGGTTTTATCAGCAACTTATCCAAGAGACCAAGGGCACGACATCCGGATATGCAGAGCTCTGATACCAATGATGATGAAATGGATGTCAAAAGACGGTTCCTTGTTTCTGGAGTAAAACATGTATGTAAGAAATCTTTCAGGTCATCATATACATGGTACACTTCAGCTGCACTGTGAAAGGATGTTA